TATCAAAACTCAAATCGCTGTACTTTTTTATTGTTCACGAGTCATTATTATGTTTTGTATTCAAATGAAAATTTACTTTAACAGCCTCAAACTAAATTGAATGAACATAGCGCTTTCATTTAGGGAGCTACTAATTTGATGTACGTGTATTAAAGTCAACTACGGTGCTGTTTTCAAGCACCAATTCCCTTAATAGTCATTATTAAGCACTTTGTCCAGGAGAAACACGGAATGGGAGTGTGTCTTTTGATTTGTTTTCGTGAAATGGCTCCAATTTCAACTAATAGTATTAAATCGATCTTTCCATAGGATAAAGCTACTTCTGCATAATCCCTACTTTACAGTAGAGCGATTTGAAGTTTGTAAGATGTAAAATTTGCTTTATCTTGTATTGGTATTTTTCTAGGATTTGATTTTTTTTACCAACCATATAAAGCATTGAGAAGCAAATTATGACGCATTTATTGTTTAAAAAAAACTACATTTAAGGCTCATATTTTGTTATTTAAGAGTATCTTATGTGATTATGTGACAATTTACTACGGACATCTTAATGTTATATATGCATATCAGACCTTATGCTTAGGAAACGTGTCAATATTATGTGAAGATATAACTTTGTTTTACAAAATTTATATGTCCTCCCGCTATGATAATATGGCAATTAAGAAAAATAGAATCAAACATTAAGACAAAAAGTCTCAGTTTGTGACAAAATTGAAGCCGTGCAGGCTGCTTTCTTGCCTACCCAAAAGGTACTAGTGCTCTCTTGACTCTATCTTCTTCGGAAATAAAAATTACTTGTACCTTTATTCAATTGCTATCTACGAAGTTATATAAGTTTTAGAACAAATGTTTTTACCAGTAAAACATATGCATCCGTTTCGCCTAAAAGTATAATAAAAGTAATTTGATAACATTTTCATATGTAACTTTATTCTATGCATAGGTCGAAATAGAGCTGATAGAGAATATTTTAATTTATATAAACTGAAACATTTTTATAAAACGGTGTCGCTCGAATCCAAGACGTGAATTAACTAAAAAAATAATATCCGTAATTGGCATTAAGATGATCTTTATTGTAAAACCTGTATTATATTAAGAAAATGCTAAGGATAAAGGATTTTGGTCTAGAATTAAATATAAAAAATCTGAATATGAATTCTGAATTTCCACGATTGAATTCTGCAAACTACCTATTGTCACGAATTTCGTGATGGTATTCCGTTAATGCTGGTAACAACAAAATCGATGCTGAACCCTGCACGTTTGAAATAGATTGGCATATGACCCACCTTGACATTCGTGCATCCTCAGTTTTAACCTTGAGTCAGATAAAATTTAATACTTTGCGGCTGTCTGGGGAAGCAATCTCCATCTTACAAAAGACCGCAGTAAAGTAACATGAATTTTTCGTGGTCTACCCTTTGTGTTGGTGCGTAAAGGAGATTGCTCAGCTTCCATACATGTTTGGCCTAAAGACCAATAAACATGAAAAATTGTTTCCTAGATTCGAAATTATATATAAATTACTGTTATAGTATAGAAACGAATATTATTGACGGACACCCCTGAGAACTTCTATAAACCATATATACTGAACAAATTAAAATAATAAAAAAACCAATAAGTTATATAATAAACTAGGGAAATCAAGCCAAGTACCTAAATTATGGATTAGATTCAGGTATATAGAGCATGTAGATTAACAGATAGTTGCCTGTTTTTAAAGTTAATGCATAAGAGTAACTTTTAAAATCAGGTGTCATCTATGCATTTCCTGTTCTAATAAGGTACTCTGTGGCAGAAACTGTGTGATGGATTGTAAATGAGCCACAGATTAGAGAGAATTTTTAGACTCTCGTTAACCAAAGAAAGCTAAGAGATTTAGGTTATATAGCCATATATTCAGTAGCTTCATTATTTTTGATATAACCATATATTAGATTTTTAGTGTATCACACCTTATAATTTTATTGCTTTATTAATGTATAGTCAGGCAACGTAGGCCCATATATAGATACGTTACAGTCTAACATATAGCATACAGATTATAATGTGTTTATGGAGGTGTTTGGCGAAAAATGTATGGCAATAGACTTTATGATGTCGCCTACCATCTATAATAATTGTCTGAGCACATTTGCATGTAGTGAAAATGATAATATAGTTGTGGATATTAATACCACAGTGTAATAAAAAATGATTTATTTTATCGATCTTTACAAAATAGATTTGTTTTTATGTTATATAAACAACTTCGATCAGACTTTGGCTGAATGTTACTACACCCATAGCCATTAAAAATGATTCGTATATTTTCCAAACCGGTAAAATTAAAAGTCCTTTTTAAAGTAAATATATTATACAAAGGTGTCCGTTGAAATCTAATGACTGTAAAGTAAATTATAAATTACGCCAAGAATTACCGCGTATGTCAATATTTTTTTGTGCATTTGGGCCAATTTGAGCAATCTCCTTTTTCCACGGGAGGAGGATTGTGTTCATGTGGCTTTAATAATCACCATACTTGGTCCACTACTCATAATAGCTGCATTATGAATTTTGTAGTATTATAATCTTGATGGAAGCTCAAGTTATTAGAGTCAGTCAGTCATGTCAGTGGAGCAAACATCAGCTTCGCAGCGATGGATAAATAATGACTAACGAGCGGTCAACACGCCTCCTTTTGAATAACACTCCGTCTAACGGAGATCTCCATTATAACACCATCTGATAATGATTCGAAACGCAGTACCATATAAATGGACGAAGCAAAGCATTTCTCGTCTGTCCTACACCTGTCATGGACTCACAATTTGAAAGGACTCAATTACAACGGTATAAAGGTTGCTTTCTCTCGAGCATCTCAAGAGGAACAAATTGTAGGTTTAGTGTTTGAGAATTCAAGATAAATAAACGGTTGAACTAATCGGGGAAGACTGATGTGCGATGAATTGCTCGGAGCGAATTGCTGCGATCTTCCAACGATGCGGTGATGACAATTCAGGCTGTCGTGCCTATTTTTACAGTACTACCTCAATGGCAGTGGACTGACAATGGCCAGTCAAATATGTTTTCTGTTTATTACACTTACCGTCTTAATAATAAACGAGTAATAAGCTAAGACTAGTGACGCCATGTTTTGTTCATATTAAGCAAATGCCATTTGTCATTCAATAAACAGAGACAAGGAGCTGATTGCGCAAGTGGTTAGCGCGTTCGGCTGCGATCGTTGGACTTAAGCAACTTTCGCAGTGGTCGGTCATTGGATGGGTGATCAAAAATTACTATCTCCAGCTCCTCCGTGCTTCGGAAGGCACGTTAAGCCGTTGGTCCCGGCTGCATCTGCAGTCGTTGGCACCCAACAATCCGCACTGGGCCCGCGTGGTGGGTCATGGCCCAATCTCCATCTATAGGGAAGGCCTGTGCCCCAGCAGTGGGGACATTAATAGGCTGATGATGATGATGAAACAGAGACAAAACATGAAGTAAGTAATCCAAGTTTATTCTTCGTTTATTAATAAGGGATGCAGGAAGGAGCCTCCTTGTATGACGCACACGAAGTTCTTACTCCTTGGTTTTGTGCCTGGCGTACCCGGGCAACGTTAACTTAAATTTTTGAACGGTTAGTCCTTTCCAATACGATGGTATCATCAACAACAAAAGATCACCAACGGATCTTATCAGAGCCAGCCTTGACCGTTATCTGTATTAATAAAGAGGGCTTCTCTCAAGACGAAGCGTTACTCCTTTCGGTAATGTGTCGTGAGACGCAAAGCCATATTTTATGCGTCACCACCGCTCGCCACCAGTAACATATGTGCAACCCTCTGAAGAACTGCCCCCCAGCCACAAATAAACCATGGCCTACATGGAAGCAGGCTCAGATCTCAGGTCAGTCGCTGCAGATACAACATGGTTAGATGGGGACTGCTACGCGACAACACAGATCAATGTATGTGCACGACCGCCCCACAGTCTATGGCTCACCTGCTGGCTGATGAATCACGCTCGGAACAAGAGAACGGGCATGGATGCCCCGCATGCGTGTCCATGACCGTCCCGCAGTCTATGGCTCACCTGCTGGCTGATGAATCACGCTCGTAACAAGAGAACGGGCATGGATGCCCCGCATGCGTGTCCATGACCGTCCCACAGTCTATGGCTCACCTGCTGGCTGATGAATCACGCTCGGAACAAGAGAACGGGCATGGATGCCCCGCATGCGTGTCCATGACCGTCCCACAGTCTATGGCTCACCTGCTGGCTGATGAATCACGCTCGTAACAAGAGAACGGCCATGGATGCCCCGCATGCGTGTCCATGACCGTCCCACAGTCTATGGCTCACCTGCTGGCTGATGAATCACGCTAGGAACAAGAGAACGGGCATGGATGCCCCGCATGCGTGTCCATGACCGTCCCACAGTCTATGGCTCACCTGCTGGCTGATCTATCCACTTCCCCTAATAACAGTATTGTAAGGTGGACTGGAAATAGATTATTATCGATTCATGTATATTTTTGTAGACTGTGCCTATTATTAAGTCACTTTCCTTTTCGAATCACTGGTGGACTGGACAGTTGACTTTTAATTGGAACTTGGAGTTCAGTGTACTGAAGTGTTATTTAACTTAGGCAAAGAAAAAAAGTTAAAACTCAAATCTTTTTCACCACATGTCTTTTCAACCAATTTTAAAGTTATAAAATTACAACTTTAGGCACCTTCCGAGGACCCATTCATTTAGCATTAAATAAGCCAAAGACATTAAACAATACAATAAACTGTTTGAAACTACACTTTAAGCCATAATTCTTGCTTGATAAACTGATTTTCGTTGTAAAGAAGCTATAAGCAAAAAGTATTTTTCTTCGTAGTCATGACCATTTGATATCCGATATCAGCTCAAAAGAGAATATATTAATTTACTCTATTACATATTAACATTGACGTCAGCGTAATTGACTTGATTGATTTAATTTTTTTTTTTTCAGATTCGGGATTCAGCTGAGACGTCAAAATGAGCTACCTGGAGAAGGTTGATAAATATTTAGATTCCCTCAAAGTGGGAAAAAGTAAGTACCTACCATCATTACCTTCATCAAATATATTTATGCTTGAATTTCCTCTGCATATAAGTCAAAATATTATCCATGAGAAACATTTCACCTAAAGGGATAACTTTGTATTTAAATTATTAAACAAATAAATTTTGCTGGTGTGATTGAGAATCAACCATCCAAAACTTAAAAAAATCACGTTTATCCTATCACTATTCTAGCTATAATAATAGAATAAGACAAAACTTCACTTAGACACTTCGACTCTTGATGACGAGGGAAATATATCATCAGGCATTCATGCAGGGTGCAAGAACGCCAGCACCGAGGGATCCCGTGACGGCAGCCCCCATCTTGTAGTTTTGTCCTGCAAAGAGGTGGGCAGCGGAGGGAGCTACACGGGCACGCCCAAGTAGTCCTCCGCAGCGGACGAGGGGCAGTACGGTGGGCACTAGGCCGCATATTCAGCCCCCACGCGTGGGCCATCCTGCGCACGTCTGCGTCCCCGCAATACCTCAGGAGACCCCTGCCGTGGAGCCCCGGCTAGGCCGGGAGGCTGCTGGTGCGGAGACGCGGAAGAATCCTTAAATGGGGATCCCGCGGTGTCGCACTAAGCAGCTTAGAGGGTATTCGCAGGGTTTTGCCTGCATCACAGAATTAAAAAACTGTTGTTCACTTTACTCAATGCGCTCTTCTTTCCTCGATGCAATCTCTACTACCGTATTAAAGGCGTGTGCTCATGAGCTGCTCCTAGTGCTAACCTGCCTTTACTCACACTCTGTACCATCTATATAATGGGAGTGGTCTCAAATCCGCAGCCATCGGCCAAGTTTCTTCACCACACCACCGCAGACAGAAGTTTCACTCCCAACATCTGGACACTTGAAGTTCTAGCATATGTACTTTTTCTTGCGTTCTTCTTTAATCTTTGATATCTTCATCGTCGTTTCCTCATGGCTGAAGGTGACCTTTCAGGACAGCACATTTCACCAACGATCTCCAGGCCATTCTGTGTTCTGCAAGGCAGATGGACGCCTGCAAGTTGCCGTTCGTATTTTCCTTAACTATGTCCAACTAGCGGGATGGAGACCTGACACTACTCCTCTTGCCTTCCACGTTTCCCACCAGAAGCCTTTCAAAATTATCTGCAGATTTTTAATCTCTGATATGACGGTCATCAAAAGGCGGGTTAACCTTTTCTTTCAGAGCCAGCAACGAATGAGTATTTGTACGAATGGGTACCCTTGGTGCTGCAAGTGCCTATGGACGGTAGTGACCACTTACCATCAGGTGGACAACCTTAAACATTAAAAAGACAAGCATTCGAATTTGAAGAAAGTGTCCATTGATAAATTCTTCCTCCCATGCTTTTATCACACGATTCTTGGGTGCTTTTTAGGGTCTGTAGCCAAATGGCAAAAACTGGAGCCCTTATGGATTCGTCATGTCTGTCTGTCTGTCCGTCCGTCCGTATGTCACAACCACTTTTTTCCGAAACTATAAGAACTATACTGTTAAACTTTGGTAAGTAGATGTATTCTGTGTATTCCGCATTAAGATTTTCACACAAAAATAGAAAGAAAAAAAAACAGTAAATTTTGGGGGTTCCCCATACTTAGAATTTTTTTTTTCATCAAACCCATACGTGCGTATCTGTGGATAGGTCTTCCAAATTGATATTAAGGTTTCAATTTTTTTTTCTAAACTGAATAGTTTGCGTAAGAGGCACTTCCAAAGTGGTATTAAAATGTTTCCCTGTACCTAAAAAATATGTGATGTACATTACCATGCAAACTTCCACCGAAAATTGGTTTGAACGAGCTCTATTAAGTTTTTTTTTAATACGTCATAAAACACAATTCAATAAAAAAAAACACTGTTATTAAAACATCGATCAAAGTTACAACAAGAACTTTTATATAATGTTACTTGCTGCTGTGGAACCCTTCATGGGCGAGTCCGACTCGGACTTGGCCGCTTTTTGATAAAATGTTTTAAAAGACTAAGGCCCGTATTATACAAAGATTCTCAGTGATTGATCTAGTCTTAAGCATAGTTAGAAAGGGATGTCGCTATCTAAAGCACATAGCGACATCCCTTTCTAACTGTACTCAAGTAAAGATCAACACTTAGTTGTCATTCTGTAATACAGGCTTTAGACAGTGATTGCTGGAGTTTTGTGACTTGTTGTGACTGATCAAAAATAGGTACCTTATGAGATTGTTCAGTAGACTATTTTCTATTCTAAATTACCAAAGCCTGTATAATAAATGAATAACGCCATCTATCAAGCAAGTAGGTATATCATCTGCTGCTGGAACTTCTTGCACTTTTGCACAGATGGCGCTACTAGTTCTAAAGCTTTTTTTTGCTTCTAAATGGCTTCGCTCGGTTTGTGCATTTAGCCAATGTTAAGTGTTAAAATGTTTACAAATACTATAGCACTCGTGGTCAAAGTAATAAATTAAGTCAACGTAAGTGACAGTCAAGTTAGTCCCCCTTTCCCTATGTTTCAAGTTATGTTATGTTTCAGTAAAAGTGTGGGGATTTACTGGAACCTCCCCGTGGACTTCTTGAGGGAACGTCGAAAGACACTTTCCGCTATTTTGTTTAACTTGCCAACACTTGTACATGTTCCCGAACACTTAGTGGTTAATAATCCACCATTAGATTAGACACTAACATCCGCCATAACACAATTTTTAACAAGAAAAACAAAACTGCTAACGTGACGCTTCCCGATCCCGCCAAAAAGTCCCTTCAATAAGTTTTTGTGGAAAGTAAGTGGATTGTTATACTTTTCTTTCGCGGTTGCAGGTGCATTGGTGGACTCGTGGTTCATGATGTCCAGTCCAACGCCGATCCTCTGCGTGGTTCTGGCCTACATGCTGCTCATCAAGGTGGTGCCGGTTCTGATGAAGAACAGACCTCCGATGCAGATCAACAATCTGATAGCGTATTACAACGCCTCACAAGTGTTGCTGGCAAGCTTGATATGCGCTAAGGTAAGGGAGAAATCATGCATAGTAAATGAAAACGTTAATATTATTTAAAGTGTAAATAAACAGTAGATAACGATATTGCTGTAGCCCAATCGGTAGATAGTTCAGTAAGAAAAAAGACCTTATTTATATATTATAATGTAGTTGGATATAGCTGCATTTTTATCTCTGCTAACTGGACTAAACTTATATATGTGTAGTCTATGTATAATTTAATTAATTCATAACTTCGTATATATCCCTTGTTTCTTTTACTGACACCGCCGACTCCAGCTTTCTTTCAATTCTCTCCATCCAAAGGTTGTCTGGAGGAAATTGCTTTTAGCGATAAGACCGCCCATTGAAACACTCTTTTTTTACAACAGTAATAGTCCGCGTGAAATTTTTTCTAGTTATATTTTCCTTAGATTTAAACATCAAGCAGTTACATGATTTAAAATAATAAAAAATATAACAGTAATGTTCCTCATTTCTGTTCGGTGTTGTGGTGTTTTCAATAAAGTATTGTGTATTGTATTGTATTGTATTGTATTGTATTGTATTGTATTGCATTGCATTGCATTGTATTGTATTGTATTGCATTGCATTGCATTGCATTGCATTGCATTGCATTGCATTGAATTGTATTGTATTGTATAATAGAAACATACACCAAAGCATTAGAAGTACTTACCCTCCACTAAGTCCCCCTCATTGATCTTAATCGAAATTAGTATCTTACTTAAAGTAAAGCAGATCTAGTAAATTTTCTCGCTTATTCTTTACTTTGGTAACCGATTGCATAACTTTCATGAAATCCTAATATTTTTTTATTCATTTATTTGATTGGTTTACTTTAATTTAAATGAATTAAATTGTTAATTTTATTATTATGGTGATATCTGTTCGTATTATCCATAAAACTGATTTATTTTAATTTTTTTCTACATCTGCGTTTTTATGGGTGATACAACTAGAACAAATTATTATTATTACAAGACAAGAATAATGACTTTAATTATTACTAGCGGCCGCCCCCGACTTCGTACGCGTGGAGTTAGTTAGAAATAAAGGTTCACTGCTCGTTCCCCGTAGGTGATAGCGTGATAATATGTAGCCTATATGTTGACCCGACTTCTTAATAATATTCGTGCCATATTTGAAGTAAATCCATGCAGTATTTTTTGAGTTTATCCCGGACATACAAACAGACAAACATACAAAAATTCTAAAAACTATATTTTTGGCTTCGGTATCGATTGTAGGTCACAGAAAAAATTCAATATGCAGTTTTGACTTTCCTACCATTTTATTATAAGTATAGATATTTCGCCATTCGCCCTCGAAACATGTATTTTTTTACATTTGTATCATGTATCGCTTCTAAGAGTAGTTACATTAAATTAAATAAATTGTGAGGATAGGATTTATAAGCATATTTTTTTATATAACTACTGTTACAGGCACTAACATTGAACCTCTTCAAAGATGGTATACTATACGCAGGCTGTCGCTATCCGTCCAATACGCAGAATCCATATGTAAGTATTTATTTGATAATATTTTTAATGTGTAACATCTTCCTCTTAGGGATGATGACTGGGTACAGTAAACGAAATTCTATGTAGTCCGTCAGTTAGATGATCAAAAAATAATGGACACGTATTTTTTCTTTGGGCAATCAACCAAAAAATGACAAAGTTATAGCGCGTCAAAGTTTGGGAGTAAGGGCTCGTGACGTCACTTTTTAGTGAATTTTCACTTAAAAGTGTACTCAAACGTGACGTCATGCGACTTTTCAAATCATTATATCTCTGCAATGTTTATATTATGTGAAAAAAGAAAAAATACGTGTCCAATACTTTTTGATAATCTACCTGATAAACGAAGAAAAAAAAATTTGTCATCATCCCGATTCGTGGGAGTAATTTCATGAAATGGGACGGAAGTGTGTAACAGGTAGTCGCGAAAGCGCGCGCTATTTGATTTCATTTTAGAACATAATGTTCAAATGGCTTATTCCTTTTATAGTAGGTTTTATTTCTTTTTTTTACTGATATAAGGTGAGGTTTCAAATGTTACACATCATACGCGACTACTGTAGGGTTCGCTCGTTTTTTTTTATATATTGAAAAGTATGATAAAGAGTATGTATATAATTAGTAATTAAAGGAACTTACCTGAAAGTAAAGTTCAATCACAATGAGGGCTATCGCGTATGAATCCGCCGCTAGAGGCGCTTGTGTAGCGTGAGGTCTCCGAAATGTCAAATGTTATTGCTTGTTGGTCGACTACGCGGGTTTATTTCTAATTAAAATAATGTTGTGAATAATTGGTAACAATTCGGCTTAATTATGGCAAATATGAGTTATGTGGCAATGAATGTCAGTTATTAAAAATTTGAGCTTAGAAAAATGATTGTTCCCATTTTTTCCGAATAAAACGGAACTGCGCGTCACTGTGGCATGGCCTATTATGTTTAGGATATGGTTCTTTTGTGTTAAAATACGATCTAAATGTAACCTTTGATTTCATGTGCGTATTAATAAACTTTAAAAGTTACAATTTAGGACCTCACTCAACAGTGGCGCCATCTAGTGAGGCAGAAAACGGTAGCCCTCATTAAACGAAGTTCAATGTCCGAAGTCATTCAATTAACCTTGTAGCTTTGCTAGCTTGAGCCCTGCCACGAAGTACCTTCGTCATACGTTTACAGAGAATATTAAAATAAAATATCTGTATGTCATCTGTCACCATCTGTCAAGTCATTAGTTTTTTGTGACGGGTGCCTTCCACACGTCATTATTGAGATTTTAAGAAAAAATACACTCCAAATTATTAAACGTAATTTAAAATCAATGGTGTGGCAGTTTGTAAAGTAAGTAAAAGTAAAAAATATTTTTATTAACATAAATGCTTACAATTAAAAAACGATGAAACGGTCCCAGTAAGTAATTGTATAATACTTGTGGTGGGCCTGTTTTGCTCCAAAACCTTTGTAGCCAGTTAACAAAAATATTTAGAAGAAAAAATATATCTATATATTAATTGCACAATTTAAAACAAGACAATCATCTTTATGTGATTAGTTAGTCCCCACATTTATTGCATGAGAAGTGTGTGAGCATGATTTGTTGAGAGTGTGGTGTGAGTATGTGTATTTTATGTGTGAGAGTGTAGTGTAGTTAAGTATATTTTTATATGTGTATTTTTGATTTGTTTAGTTTGTGCAACAAGATGATAAAAAAAATGGATGCGTGTAACTTATGTACGCGCGCGTGAGAAGTTATACTTCTTTAGCATCATTAAAAATATTTTTAATTGCATGCAAATAATTAATAATTACAATAAAATAATATAAGGACTGGAAAAGGATAGTTAACACAGTCAATTAAGTTCAGTTTTAATTTGAAAAATTAAATAAATATTCAAAATATTCAATTAAAATCACTACTGAATTTAAGTTATTAGTCCATATGTAATTAGCACTTGTAAGTAACTAAAACACGTTGTGTCTATATAGAAACTAGAAACATGTGGATAAATATTATAAATATGAAAACAGTGATCAGAGGCGACGAGCGTGCCAACATTGTTTTTGACAACGCGATCATCTTATGGAGCTCCGTGGATCGTTCAAAGTACCTTTCGAACAGATGTCTAATAATGGTGGATTATTAACCACTTATTAGACACTAACATTCATAACGCGCCCGCGGCCAACTTCATGGTGTTACTATTGTGTTACAGTGATGCGCGCGCATCTCGAAATTTCACTCACATGATTTTTTCAAAACGCGCCCGCGGCCAACTTCATGCTGTTACTTTTGGGTTACAGTGATGCGCGCGCATCTAAAAATTTCACTCTCATCATTTTTTCATAACGCGCCTAAAGAAGTATAACTTCAAAAAGAAAATCAAAATCAGGGTAATACTTTAAGTTACAGTGAACCACTCGATAAAATTGATATTCCTGGGCCCAAGAGGTGGACGAGGATTGTGTTCTTGAACATATAATACGAGATATTATCCTAGAATAGTTATTTTTATAAGTTCGCAAAGAAAGTCACGCTTCTGAATGTCCCAAAAGTATAATTAGTAAGTAGTAGTAAGCTATACAGTATAATTAACTTTAAAGTAAAATATATTGTAAAACTAGCAGAGTCGGAGAGCTTCAATGACAGGTTTAATGAACCTCCTATAGTTATTACAAACTTTAATTATATTTCAACTGTTCCAGTTATTTAATGTTTGACGGTCGATAAATCAATTCTTGTAACTTAAATTTTACTTATTTTTCGATTTTTATCATCATCAGCCGATTAATGTCCAAACTGCTGGGGCCAGGTTTTCCCTGCGGATAGAAAAGGGGAGAATAGATCATGACCCACCACGCGGGCTCCTTGCGAATTGACGGGTCCAACGACTGCAGATGCAGCCGGGGCCAACGGCTTAACGTGTCTTCCAAAGCACGGAGGAGTTCGAGATAGTAAATTTTTGGTCACCCATCCAAAGGCCGACCACTGCGAAAGTTGCTTAACTCAACGATCGCAGCCGAACGTGCCAACTACTTGCACCATCGAGCTGATGATGATGATAAACTAGAAGTAACGAAAATATAAAAACTATCCCAACCTACCGCAAATAAGGCGTAGTGACCTCCCATAACTAACTAAACAGGAAATCAAGATGGATATCACTTTTATGACTTTTTCTTTATAAATCATTTAAAAAGTTTCTCTTAGTGTCACCGCACACGGGCCACCGATCACAACCACAAAACGCCGCCACCGGCATATTTCTTATAGTTTTCATACATTTTATATGGACTCGCCACACACGGTACGCCGGTGGCCGCCACACGCTACAAATCGTCGTTGCTCTCTTCTTGTGGCCCGCACCGGCCGCTTAATGCGCCGCCGGTACAAAACGCCGCCACACGTCACTCGCGCCATTCCCCACCCCTCTCTCCCTTACCTTAGTCGGCCGCTGTCGCGCGCTTCAGCCACTTTAGTAGCCGCTTCTAGCTTCTTGTGGTGGCGTTTGTGGCTGTTGCGTGTGGCCCGTGTGCGGCGACGCTTATCGTATCCTCAAGTATACGACCCTGCGCTGCGTTAAGTGGGAGCATGGAGCGGACGTTCGCTCCGCGTACAGTTTCATGTATTTTCATGGAGAAGCTCTGCAAAAGGCGACCCGCCTCACACATAAATATTATGAAACAAACATTGTGAGCAAACGTCCACGCCGTTAATCTTCTATATATATATAAAAATGAAACCCGTTTTCCGTTGTCACGACATAACATGAAAACGGCTTGACCGATTTGGCTGATTTTTTTTTGTAGTTTTCTAATACTCTGTACAAGGTTCTTACGGAAAAAAATATAAAGAAAATCTCTCAGAAAGATTGAAAAATATAACGTAACGAATGTCAACGTCATTCAATTTAAAACAAAAAATCTGTGGTAATCTGTGACACCACATCGATAACCGCGCTGACAAATGTCAACGTCATTCAATTTAAAACAAAAAAAATCTGTGGTAATCTGTGACAACACATCCATAACCGCGCTAAATATATAGGTACTCATACATAAGATAGCAGCTATACAAAATAAAGTAGTGCATCAAAGCTACGCTAAGGCGGTACGAAGTTCGCCGGGTCAGCTAGTTATATATAAAATTGTTTAAATTCTCGTTACAGTTGCTAGATTTGGGCTGGTGGTACTTCTTTGCCAAGTTTACAGAGCTGTTGGATACAGTGTTCTTCGTTCTCAGGAAGAAAAATAACCAGGTAACCAATAGTTTATATATGTGTATTTTTATCGAACGAAGTCCATTTTCAGGCAGTATGGTGGAAACGACTAGGCTAGACGAAAAAATGAAAAAAAAACGTCAAAACCTAGCGAGGCAGCTAGCTAAGCATGGTTATCTAGATGGGAAACTAGGTGGGCGACAACTGACGGTGGTGGCTATGGACTTGCTTTAAAGTTTTATTTAATAGTTTGACGGAATAACTACGACACTCATACATTTTTATTCTATATGCTATTAATCTAATCGATTACGTGATGATGTCCAGGTTCGCGTCATGCCGTGCCCGAGCTTTAATAAAATGGCTATATTGATGACAAACTTTAAACAGTACTTACTTTGCCATTTGTCTGGGTTGTTGTTCCGACGATCAATCTGTGACCTTATGAAGATTTTCTTATGTTAAAAAAGTGGCCCGCCTGATAATAATCAGCCAAATTCAAATTCAAAATTCAATATCGTTCATTCAGTCTAGGCTGTTACAAGCACTTGTGAATGTCGAAAAGCTACGCCATCGGTTCGCAAATCTACGGCGGGAGACCTTGTACTGAGAAGAACCGGCAAGAAACTCGGCAAGGGCTGCTGCACGGCATAGCTTATAGACGCTTGCGAAAACTATCAATCGCGCCATTGCCTACCCTGATCCCATTCCCAAACACGTGGAGTCCTGGAACCTTACTCTAAGAGAAAAGCTCATCACCACCAACAGGTAGTGTTATTTCAATATGATCTTCTGTGTGCTGCCGTCCTCAAACTAAAGTGGGGCTAAGTAGCATGTGGTCGATTATTTAGTCTTAAATTGCATCTTTTACAGTTTTTAATTCTCTATCGATCTGTACCCCTAGCACGAACCAATATCGAATTCGTATCGTTTGCGAGTCCGAAATGTCATTGTCAAATGTGTACTGATTTTTAGTTCTCGTTACGTACTTTGTGCTGCTGCTGTTCAAGTTTCCATACAAAATTTGACATGGACATTTTGGTTTGCAAACTATTCGGATTCGATAATGGTTCGTGCTAGGGGTACTGACGTTAATAAGTATTCGTATCTTTTATAGTTTAAATCTAAAAATCTGTCATGTGATGAATGGTTACAAAATAGCAATAATTTCAAGTTTATGCGCCGTTTTTTTGACCATATCTCAAAAGTTGGTTTTGTCATTTAGCCGCGTTTTAGCTTACGGACGGCAGTATAATGGCGGTTACTTCGCCAGACGGGCGCTCCTATTCGTGCGGCTAATCCGCTACCTCTCTTGAAGTGTCAGAGTATCTAGGGGGTGACAGTTGTAGTGGGGATTAACAGCTTATAGTACCTCCTAAAACACGTAGGGAACCTGAAGCAATAAATTGTTAATCACCAATTCTACATAATGATGCAACATTGCGAAAGTTCCACGATCGCATTTTTTTTTATTTGGGTAGGCATATACATCAACTCCACCGTTGATTAAATTGCGCGATCGAGCTCCTCAATTTAATATAAAATGATAATAAATTATTTGGCTACTTTTGTATCAAAGAAATTCACTTGCTTTTGTCCAATAATATCACATTTCAATTTAATGCTTGCTTGTATTGAACATATTTGTGTACTTCATTATGTTTATTTGAGCTACATGGCCACGTCAAGGACGATGAATTTATTTACATCGAGCTTTTGCCAAGGTGTACATGTTATTTCAGTCAATGTCAAACAAATAATATTATTATAATTCATTGCTCCGGTTTTTTACGTTTTATGCAGTTATAGACTAATTACGAGTAAACATATTCTTATTAACGGGCCTCTTACAGTCCTCTCTAGTTTTACTCCTAATAATGTTACATATTAAATAATATACAGGAATTGATCTTTAATACATAGCTGGGCGATTAATTTAAAGTGATATTATAATAATTGAAGTTCATCGCTTGAAAATAAATGTCTCTGAATCTAAACACCTTTGAAGAAATTTTTACTAGAAAAGTTGTAAAGGTCCTAGGTGTCAGGCAGGATTCTATCCTGCATCTTCCACTGTGCAGATGGATGCACTAACCGCTATGCTACCGAGATCTCAATGATCCTGTCAAACTTCATTTAATATTTCTTACGCTGCAAGGAAGCGCCATTTCTTCGCATTGTAGATAATCCACAATGTCAAATGAAATACTTTTACAAATATCGTCATTTGAAAGATTAAAATGGCAATTGTAGTTTTCCTGCGTTGGTCTAGGACTGATTTACATTTTTAGCACATTCAGTCAATAACACATCTTTAAATAGATAAAACTGCAACTGTTTGGGAGGAACCCTAAATTGTTAAATCTTTTGTTTCTCTTCACTCTTTGCCTCTAACAGAAACTATATTACAAACAAATAAATCAATCAAATTGATGAAAATAAAATGTTATGATAATTTTTTACACAATTTAACAGATGAATGCTTTTCAGGTGACATTCTTGCATGTGTACCACCACGTCATTATGGCCCTGTACTCCTGGAGCTACCTGAAGTTCGCGGCTGGTGGTGAGGGGGCTATTCTGGCGCTCTTGAACTCCATGGTGCACGTGTTCATGTATACCTACTATCTCCTCTCCGGATTCGGTCCAAGATTCCAGAAATACCTTTGGTGGAAGAAATATGTCACCACAATGCAACTGGTAAGGGTGAAAAATATATATTGCGAAGAAATATCATATTAAATTATTCGAATACCTTGAAATTATTCTATTTTAATACATTTATACTGTTATGCTAGTTCTCACAATCAGAAGCTAAGAATTGGATTAGTTGAAGAAGTGGATTAGTTGTGTAACCGGCAGATTATTGTTTGTCCATCATCAGAAACGTTCCGTGAACCCTCCAGTAGATCCTATTTAAAATCATCATGACCGATTGTTGATTTATTTTTTCTGCCCTACACGTTAGATTTATACAAAGGGCTCAGATATGGTGGAAGTACTTCACAAGGTGCAAAGTTGCCCCCCTTATGTTATTCTGCCGCGCTCGAGTAAATCATAAAACCCCAGCCTAGTCTAACCTACTATTATTTATTTAGTTATTTGATCGTGACTTGATCCGTAAATAAAATAAATACTTTCCTTTCAGATCCAATTCGTCATGATGCTTTTTTATTGCGCATGGACACACTTCTCACCTCGCTGCCAATATAACTCAAGTTTTACCTACTTCATCAGCGGCAACATAACAATTTTCCTGTTTCTCTTTCTCAACTTCTACTCTAAAAGTTACAAGGGCAAGAAAGACATAAAGAAAGAAATCAAAGAGGAGTACAACAAAACTAGAAATGGTATCAAAACTGACGATGCTACCAAACTAATTAATGCTGTAACACAAAATGGCAAAAAAGAAGAAAATGGATTTCATCGAAATAATGTCAATAATACTAACGGGGTAGGAGATAATATTAAATTAAAGAACTCAAGTGAGGATTACTCGAAGGATGGCAAAATGTTACTAACAAGGCGTACGCTTAATGGAACAGTAGAGCAGCAGTATGACTTTGGTAGCGTAATAAAGAAATGATTTAATTTCTTCGATTGTGGTTAGAAAAGGCTTCTATTGAGACTGATGTTTGTGATGACACAGATGCGAGTTTTAATTTATTTAAGGTTGTAATATTAAAAGGGGATTTTAGTTGTAAAGTATGCTTAAACTTTTATTCATTGGCAATGCTAAACACAGCTCTTTGAATAAAAACTATCATTAATGATTTTATGCTGAGGGGTCCATATTGACTAATTTAAAATTTGTATAAATGATTGTTTTATTGAAAGAGTTTATACAATTACGTGTAAGATTCAAATCTTCATTGAGAGACAAATTCTAAAGTTCCAGCATATCGTAGACTATAATTGCAAAAGAATTTATGCCATCAGTATAAATGTTTTACAGTGAGAAGATACGCTTTAATATTTGAAATGTTTACAATAATCGCCAACCGCACAATTATTGTTAATTAGATTTTAAGATCAGGTGGAATGTAAATGACAATGTTTGAGGAGCATAGTTTAGCTTTAGAGTATACTAACAATAATATTATAACTAAGATTGAAATTAATTCCAATTCAAATACATATTAGTTTATTAATTAGGGCATTAGTTTTATTCATCAAGGGAAGGATCAAAGATGTATAATTATTCCTTTTATTATTTTATGTAATTAATTTAATTGAATCATAGGGAACCAAAATGCATTTGCTGGAAATTCTGAATTTCTTCAAAGCGGTTGAACGACATAAATAATACTATATAATAATAACTATAAATTTCACGTTTCAGTGGACGCCTGGATTTGTTGAGTATTTTGTATTTGAGTACTTGTTCAATTGTTTTCTGCCTCTTTATCGATTACTTTGTGAATATTAGGTATATGTCTCCCAGCCTAATATGGTTACTATCGCTTTGTATTTAGGACGATCAGAAACGTATTTAGTTAAACGCTGTCATTAAGTAAAGAATATTTAGGATGGCATTTATAATTATATTTGGTTTTCATAATTTATAGGTTCTAAATGGGCCCAATTTCTATGTAGTGATGTAAAGGCTAATATTATGAAATGAAAAGGATAATTCATAGCTTTGATGGATTAAATGGTGATATTTAGTCTATTTTACTTCATACTGATTGGAAAACTGTGGCCTCATGATCGGTTAGTCATCATACTTGATAATAATTATGGTTAGTGATATAATTTGTCATAACAACGTTGAAGATTAATAAATATGAATGTGATTGTAGCTAGCAGCGCTGGCTGGTGCCTTAAAAGAGGTCGTAGCAGTTATATCAACTAATGTTCAGGCAGAGCAATGGCTTTTCCTGAGGCGAGGCGATTACGTCGCGATTCTGATAGGTGTGCGTTGCAGTAGGGAGTTTCATACAAAGAATACTGAACGGTTCGAGGTTATGCGGTGACAATCCTCTTCCCAGTTGATATTTCTGCTACGACCTTAATAGTTGTTATGTTTCAAACCGCAAGTTTTAATTCAGAGATATGTAATATCAAGGTATGAACAATTATATTTTTCATGATTTGTCGGATTCTAGGGATTCATATGAGCATTACTAACTACTACTAATTTATTATCTTTTAAAAATAACATTACAAAATTGTTATTACATAAGTGAATAAAATAATAAATGATTGTTTTAAAATATTCTTTTATTTTGAAATCTATTGTAACATTTTTCTTTGATTTGCATACATACTTTGATTTATAAGATAAAACAAATGCATTTTATTTATTATTTACTATCGCTTGATTATGATACAATGCTTTATATTTAAACAATAAATTGTAGTTTATGATAGTTATATTAATTTCTTCAAACCAGAATATATTTCACAGACTTATCGAAGCATTTTCAATATGTTTCAGTAGACCTTTCCTTATCCATTTCGAACAAAAAAATCAATACAAATCCTTTTTTTCTATCTAAGTATCCACTAATAGGATTGCTTTTAGTTTCTACGTTCAGAAATAAGGTAAATATGTTCTCGAAAAAATAATTAAAATATTCAAAATAGTTAAACACAGTAAACACACTACTCCCCTGTACAGATCATCATCATCATCATCAGCCTATTAATGTCCCCACTGCTAGGGCACAAGCCTTCCCTATGGATGGATTAGGGAGATTGGGCCATGACCCACCACGCGGGCCCAGTGCGGGTTGGTGGGTGCTAACGACTTCAGATGCAGCCGGGACCAACGTCTTAACGTGCCTTCGGAAGCACGGAGGAGCTCGAGAAAGTAAAGTTTTGGTCACCCATCCAATGACCGACTACTGCGAAAGTTGCGTAACCTCAACAATCGCAGCCGAATGCGCTAACCACTTGCGCCATCGAGCTTTCTCATTTTTAATATATAAAAATAAAAGCTTTGTAGTGATCTTCCCCTTGTTTCATTAAGGAGAGGTAGGGCATAGCGGAGCGCCCGTCTGGGGAAGTACCTTACAGAAGATCACAGTAAAATAACACTACCTTTTGGGGGGTGTCGTGTTTCTGTCGCGGAGTAAGGTTCCAGAGCTCCACGAGGTAGGAGGTTGAGTCAGGTTAGGCAACGGTGCTCCGCAGCAAGAGGGCGTGGGAGGCGTTCGCCTCCTTCTACGAGAACGTTATCTCGCAGAACGAGGCGGCTGAGAGGGAGCGGGAGGATGATCCCCTGGCCGCTCCCTCCCGCCAAAGGAGGACGGGTAGGAGAGGACGGCGGCGCGCCCTGGCTGCGCCCGTCCCGTGACCCTACCCGGGGGGTCCGTCGCTGACCGGCATGGCGTCAGCTGTCGGCCATCAACGGACTCCGTGACGACAGCCCCCCCTTGTAATTCGGTCCTACAAAGAGCGGGGCGGCGGAGAGGGAGCTACACGGGCACGCCCAAGTAGCCCTCCGCAGCGGACGGGGGGCGGTACGCTGCGCACGTCTGCGGGGTCCCCGCGATACCGCTGGAGCCCCGGCTAGACCGGGAGGCTGCTAGGTGCGAAGACGCGGAAGAATCCCTAAACGGGGATCCCGCGACTTCGCGCTAAGCAGTTCAGAGGGTATTCGCAGGGTTTTTTAGCGTATATTATGCCGTAGAGCGCCCGTAAGAGTTACGGGGTCCTCAGTGGGTAGCCACTGCTAGGGCTTGTAAGGCTTGCGGGGGCCAGGTGTGAGGTCCGTTCGGCGGTGTGCCTCTTAAAGGCGCCGTTGTCTGTAAACAGTATTTTTTAACTGCGTATATAAAAAAAAGGGTAGGCAACGGTGCTAGTGATATTTTTGGCATCGCAAGCAGATAGAAGCTTATAGATAATCGCTTATAGATCGCAGCCACCATAGCTTATAGACATAAGCTATGGTGGCTGCTTACCATCAGGTGGGCCAAACGGTTATATCCCACGCTTTAAACTTAAGAAAAATAAAACCATACAGAGCCATAACACCCGATAGGCTAGTACCGAGGGCTGCAGGCAATCTAAGGATATTTTTCCTAGCCTTAACCCCAGCCTAACTATTAAATCTTAACCGAACCTCACCATAACAGGGCACTGCCTACTTAACAAGCATCTACTAACCATACGTGTTACAGATAGCTCTCTATGCAGAGGATGTCTGGAAGCAGATGAAACGGCCGCTCATGTGATCCTGGAATGCATGAGCGTTGCAGAAAACCGGGCCTAGAAGCCTGTGACAGCCCCAGGAGACTACTGCGCTTCTGGAAGGAGCTGGGCTGGCTAAGCTAGCTAGCCCAATCTACCCTGCACGCAAAATGGACCAAATACGGAGTGTGTGTGCGGAAACAGGGGCCCACGACAAATAACAAGTAAGAGAGGCTTGAAGAAGCATTTTTGCAGGCTGGCAAGGTGAGGATGGTTAGTGTGGCAGTTTATAACTGCTGTACCAGCTATCTTCGCGTTTGGACTTTATCACCACTAAACATCAGGTGGGGTAGAGTCTTTGCCTACCTGGCTGTCTATAAAAAAAGTCACAATTGCTCATCTATACTTATAATAAATCTGTAGAGAGGTCAATTCTGTACATGAAATATATTTTCAAAATAACTATCAGGGGGTGATTAGTGATCGATACTGACGCCAAAAATGCAATCAGTAAAAATTTTGTCTGTCTGTCTGTCGGTCTGTGTGTATGTTCCTTATAGAAACAAAAACTACTCGACGGATGTTAACGAAACTAGGTACAATTATTCTTCATACTCCTGGGCAGGTTATAGTATACTTTTCATCGCGCTACAATCAATAGCAGCAGAGCAGTGAAGGGAAATGTTGGGAAAACGGGAGAAGTTACTCCATTTTTTAAGCTTCCGTCGCGTGTGCAGCCTTAATGGTTAAAGTTACATAGAAATCATGTATGACGGAAATATTCTAAATAAAATTGTCTAAAAAATATCCCGCAACAGCATATTTCTATCTTTTATGGTTGACTCACAATAACACGTGTAATTATATAAATAAAGTTATTGTTTATAGCACAAGCCTGAGAACAAAAACTATAGTTTAAACTACAGCTCTACACCGAAGCGAAGCGAGGGCGGGCCATTAGTTTTAAATAATACGATTAGACAACTTATGACTTCACCTTGTACCTATTTTATTGACCTTTTAGTATTGAACTTCGACAAACAATTGACTATAATCGGAATAAGTATAGCAACGTGTAATGATCAGTTTGAATAAGTCAGTTGTGTTCTTTGCGCGCGAGTGGATTCATTCACGAAGATGAATTCCTCCAGTTTAGTCAAAACGTCAACATACTTGTTTTCGGACAACAGAGATAACTGTAAGTATTAAAAAAAAATCAAAACTCAAAGGTTTATAAAAAGTGGAAAAAGAGTCTTCCCTCAACTGAAAATTGAACCCGGGCCGGCCGCGTGGCATGAGTTTTCTACCACTGAATCACTGATGCTTGTGGACAAGGTCTGAATGTTTTAATAACAATTAGTTCTTTTTGTGGCTATGTAAAAAAACATTCATCATTAGCCTATTAATGTCCCCACTGCTGGGGCACAGGCCTTCCCTATGGATGGAATAGGAAGATAGGGCCATGACCCACCACGCGGGCCTAATGCGGATTGGCGGGTGCTAACGACTACAGATGCAGCCGGGACCAACGGCTTAACGTGCCTTCCGAAGCACGGAGGAACTCGAGATAAAAGATTTTTGGTCACCCATCCAATGACCGACCCCTGCGAAAGTTGCTTAAATTCAACGATCGCAGCCGAACGCGCTAACCACTTGCGCCATCGAGCTCGGAGGACTAAAAAAACATTATTTAAGCAAAACTCAAAGAATAATTACAATATACGCATTAACAACAGCTAAGAGGTGTTTACTATATCATAAATTATGGAAAAAATACTTCTATTCTACTAGATTATTCTGAAACTAGTGGCCCGCCCTCGCTTCGCTTCGGGTAGAGCTGTAGTGTAAACTATAGTTTTTGTTCTCAGGCTTGTGCTATAAACAATGACTTTATTTATATAATTACACGTGTTATTGTGAGTCAACCATAAAAGATAGACCTATGCTGTTGCGGGATATTTTTTAGACAATTTTATGTAGAATATTTCCGTCATACATGATTTCTATGTAACTTTAACCATTAAGGCTGCACACGCGACGGAAGCTTAAAAAATAGAGTAACTTCTCCCGTTTTCCCAACATTTCCCTTCACTACTCTGCTGCTATTGATTGTAGCGTGATGAAAAGTATACTATAACCTGCCCAGGAGTATGAAGAATAATTGTACCAAGTTTCGTTAACATCCGTCGAGTAGTTTTTGTTTCTATAAGGAACATACACACAGACAGACAGACAGACAAAAATTTTACTGATTGCATTTTTGGCATCAGTATCGACCACTTATCACCCCCTGATAGTTATTTTGAAAATATATTTCATGTACAGAATTGACCTCTCTACAGATTTATTATAAGTATAGATCAGCAACTTTATGAACACCAATTTTTAATTGAAACACATTAAAATATGATAAAATCTGATTTTTTCAATTATTAGTAGTCAAAACAAAGAATATTTAACTGTAAAATAAAAATATTTTTATACTGTCACTATCTGTGTGGTAAAGATTACAATTTTCTTTGATTTATTTATTAACTAGTCTTGCATGGCGGATGTTTAAGTATCTCTAAATATTCGAATATTTATATATTATCTGCCTTTTTAATGATCCCATCGCTTGAGCAAGGGAACTATAATTTTGGTTCGAGTGGTCGAGTGGTTTGTACGCCTGGTTTCATGGTGTCACCGACTCGAGAGGTCTCGGTTTCGAATCCCGGTGGGGGCAGATGTTTGTGTGATAAATACGAGCATTTGTACCCCAGTAATGGATGTTTAATATTTTTTTCTATATAACACACTTATTTATGTACAATATGTGTATTCTATCCTTTATCCTAGTATCCCATAACACAAGCCTTACAGTGCTTACTTTGGGCCTAGGCTAATTGGTGCGTTGGAAATATTTATTTATTTATATTGTGCTGATTCGGAGACAGAGCAATGGAAGGTCAAAAATTGCTTGCCTGCTTCGTAGCGGCCCGGATTCGATTCCCAGCCTTGAAAGCACCTTTGAAGTGAAATTTCCTTTCAGTCAGGGTGTAAATGGCAAAATCATATGGAAAAGATGAAACGGAAATGCGTCACACGACTATATACACATATATGTGTGTATGTGTGTGTGTCCCACACGTGCGCAGCTCTTCCCGACACGTATGAAAGTTGGAGGGTAACTCGGTGAAGGCTGAAACGCTACGAGCGACACGAGCGTCACATGCTTTCTCATTCCTCTATGTCTTATGCACCGCCTAATGTTAGGTTATTTAAGAAAAAAAGTTTCACTTTTTTTTTAAAGGTCTTTGTGTTCGCTTATACAATAAAGTCCCAAGCAATATCCACGAGTTAGCCATAAATATAAAAAAAAACACTTATTAAAAAAGCTTATTACAAAGTGTCTGATTATATTACAGACAAAAATGCTAGGGTTTGAACTGTTCCAATCATTCCAACAGGTTTTCTATATTATATATATCATATTGACTTTGTAACAACATAATGATTTGTAAATGTTGTTACATTAGACTTTTAATGTTGTAGAGTTTTTTCGCTCATTTTTCTCCGCAGCTAAAAAATATGTCCATAACGAGTGATAGGGAAAAAAATTTTTGGGCGATTCAAAAGAGTTGTACTATACATCCAATTTGAATAAAGATATATTGATTTCTGATTTCTGATTTCTAAGGCGATGTGAAACAGTTTAAATGTTTCTTCTGCATTGTGTTTTCATAAAAGCCCTCAAAGTTTTATATATTTTATTTTTTTAATTTGTTTTCGTTTTTCAGGGAAGGATCTAAATCAATGGTACCTCATGGGTTCCCCGCTACCACTTCTAACCATAACGGTGGCGTATATACTCTTGATCTTGAGAATAGGACCAGACTTCATGAGGTCGAGAGCACCGATGAAACTCAACAATGTTCTTCTGGTCTACAATACTCTCCAAGTTTTAGTTTCCCTTTTCTTAGTCAAAAAAGTGAGTGGTATATCCTCAGATTACAAACAGGTAATTTGAGTGTGTATGCTGTTGGTCGCAGATAACCTGCATAAGTAAATAGTTCTTTTCTTTGAAAACAGTTTTGACAATGTTTTAATAAGGCGGCACAGTTTGAATAATATCTTTATATTGACGGGGCGTATTCACAACGGGGTTTTGATTTCGTATTTGCTATGGTGCCACGCATTGCATGTTCCATGCGCACCATCTTGTTTCTGCTTGTTACCCCCACGACAACGGCTAACTAGAACCGAGGTCCGAGAGGAGAGAGGAGACTCCCCCCGTGGGGAGATGCCATCCGCCTGGAATACCTCAAGAGGCACACACCAATTCTCAGCTTGAGCTACCCTTAGGATCTCACCGTCCTCAAACCCGGTGACTTATTAAAGGTCATCTGCGACCAATAGCATACACACTCAAAAAGAAAAACTATATTATCATATTGTCCTTCACGAGGTTTACATTCATTAGTGATGACATTAAAGACTACATTAAATTTACATTACTATTTATTCATTGTTTCACTTCGCTATGCAATCAGTTCACTCGATCATTACCAATAGTTCAAGGTGTGGTTTTGTTTGTAATTTAATTTTGTGATTAAAATTTATTGTTACAGGGTTTTACAATGTTAGCGCATAATGGATTGCTCAATTACGAATGTACGGAGAGAGAAGATCTAATGAAAGATGTGAGTTTAGTTTTGAATATTTTTATGACACCAATCTAAATCTTACATGTGTGAAGAAGGGCTTTAAGAATAACGGACTTTCCGCTCGACTTGTAGCGTCCTTCTGTGGAAGTAACCTCCTCCTTAGAGAAGATCACAGTAACATAAATATATATATATATATATATAATAGCTTTATAGCGCCTTCTCCATGCTTCATTCAGGAGAGGTAGGGCATAGCGGATGTACCGCTCGGATTGGAGAGCCCGTCTGGAGAAGTACCTAACAGAAGAGAATAACACTATAAGCCGCGCCAATAAAGAAACGAATCTAAAATGGCGGCGGCGATCATGCGCTCTCTCACTCTAAACTATTGCTGTCTTTAGTCGCACACGGCGCGTTTTTGATTAGTAGCATGCAAAAAAGAATATTAATTCTTTATGCATGCTACGAATCAAAAATGGCGTCTATGTACTTGCACTGACAGATGCTAGGGTCAACAAATAAAAAGAAAGATAGAAAGAAAAAGTTGTTTAATAGGTAACGTCGAGACAGTGCGAGAACAAAGTCAGAATATTAATTCTGACTTTATTCTCGCTTTGTCAGAATATTAATTCTGACTTTGTTCTTGCACTATCTCGACATTACCTAATAAAAAACTTTTTCTTTCTATCTTTCTTTTTATTTGTCAACAAACAAAGTCAGAATATTAATTCTAACTTTATTCTCGCTTTGTCAGAATATTAATTCTGACTTTGTTCTTGCACTATCTCGACATTACCAAATAAACAACTTTTTCTTTCTATCTTTCTTTTTATTTGTTGACCCTAGCATCTGTCAGTGCAGGTACATAGACGCCATTTTTGATTCGTTTCTTTATTGGCGCGGCTTATACCTATTGGTGGTGTAGTGTTTCTGTAGGTGAGGAAAGTTCCAGAGCTCCATGGGGTAGAGGATTGGGACAGGGTACGCAAGGGTCTATAGGCTATGGTGACCACTTACCATGGCCAATATGCTGGTTAACCAACCTTTTAACATAAAAAATGTTGGCCCAGAAGCAAAAGAAAAACAAGAGTATGCCAGCTGCTAAATTTACAGTGTTTATACTAAAGCTCGATGGCACAATGGTTGGCGCGTATGATCTACGATCGTAAAAGGTAAGCCACAATGGCTGAACATAGGATGGATGACCAATAATTTCTTGTTTCTAGCTTCTCCGTATTTAAAAAGTAATAATGAGCCGTTGGTCTCGACTGCATTTACAATCGTTAGAACCCACTAATCCAGACCAGGTCCACGTGATATTTCATGGCTCAATCTTCCTGTTCCATCTGCAGGTTATGCCTGTGTCCCAGCAGTGGGGATATCAATAAACTGATGATTAATCCATACTGGTTCCGCATGGTTGACCATGTTTCAATCTCTCTCTTTCCACCTCTAAGGAATACCTGTGCCCCAGCAGTGGTAACATTAATATGATGATGATGATGGTAGGTACTTATGAGGGTACAGCGACTGATTTAGTTTTAGCTTTAGGATTCCATTTAATAGAGTTTGACATCAGTGTCCTGTCAATAATCCTCTGCTGTCTATCCGAAACTCATAAACTGTAATAGGCAGAGAGTTGAGATTCTGAGTCAAGGTGTATACAAAACCACGTTTCACAAAGAAAAATAAAGAATTTTATAAAAGACGTATACATCATATAAGAATACAGGGCACTTTGGTTGATGGTAAAGCAAAGATTATCAACCTTTTGTGATGGAAAAAAACCTTTTACATTCAAGTTCGGTACCTTAAGCACGAACCAATATCGAATTCGAATAGTTTGCGAGTGCGAAATGTCATTGTCAAATTTTGTATGGAAATTTAAGCAGCAGCGCCATAACGGGCGTAACGAGAACTAAAACTCAGTACACATTTAACAATGACATTCCGTACTCGCAAACTATGCGATTTTTTTTATAGATTAGTCCGACAAATGACTCCACTCCATCTGATATTAAGTGAAGGTGAAGTCCAGACGCGAAGATGGCTGATACAGCAGTTCTACCTGCCACACTGAGGGTACTGCGCTTGGCCTGTTTTTATTTTAAATCGTCATTCATTTCAGGTCGTCACCGGTATATACTACTATCTTCTGGCGAAGCTGAGTGAACTTCTCGACACGGTGTTCTTCATCTTGCGCAAGAAGCAGCGCCAAGTGACGTTCCTGCACGTATACCACCATACCATAATGCTGTGGAACCCGTGGATTACCCTCAAGTATGGTGCGACGTACACCATGGCCTTCCTGGGCAGCACCAACAGCTTCGTGCACGTCATCATGTACGCTTACTACGGGCTGTCGGCGTTTCCATCGCTGGCGAAGTATCTATGGTGGAAGAAATACTTGACGGCCTTGCAATTGGTGAGCTGTTGTATTTTGTTTTATCGAAGGGTTTTTCTGTAAGTGGCGCAACAAACTACCCCATTTGATGTTAAGTCCAAATGGAGTCTAATCTCGAAGATAGATGAAGTATACCACGGCAGAAAGTATACAGCTCCAGCCATCCTTACCTTGCCGGCCTTAACCCAATCCTCTACCTTACGGAGCCCAGAAAGAGGTTTATATAAGGTGCTTGATGAAAGCTGTTATATTAGCTATACATTATTAAGGTACTACATATTCTACACGTGCCGATTGTGAAATCCCAAGTCCATATATGACAGGAACCACGGTGTGTTTGTTTCCGTATCAAGAAGAGTTCTGGAAATATTTCACTGTAGAAGGAGGATGTTATAGAGAGATTGGGCAGCGATCCACGACACGAGCCCAGGGCGGATTAGTGGGTGCTAACGAATGTAGATAAAGTCCATACCGACGGCTTGATGCGTATCCAGTACGGTTAGGGTTACCATCTGACAGGCTTTCGTTGCCTTTCACGGGCATTTTACGGTTTAGACAGGCGTGCGTCCGGCGCTAAGCTGAGACAGGCATTTTTTTATTTCACGTGTCACTCACTTAGTCACGGCACACATGCACCGTGCGTGCGTGGCGCGCGTGGCCCACGCAGTGCAGTACGGATAAACAAGTTAGCGTAAATTTGCGGGCGGGTGGGATGCATTGTTTACGTTGGCCGAACGAATAATAATGAATGATAATAATATTGGTATCTTTACTCAGCTTGAAAGGGTTTTTTTATAGCCAGGCATTTTTCTGAAAATCAGGCGCTTTGTTTATCCTAGACAGACATCCTCCCTGAAATAGATGGCAACTTTAAGTACGGTGGAATACAAGATGCTATAGTTCCGGCCACCCATCCGTAGATCGGCGATGGCCAAATACCTAACTCTAAGGACTTTAGACCGAATGCACTTACCTCGTAGGTATTAAGCTCCTTAATTTACTTTGATATAAATATTTAAATAAATAAATTCTTTTTCCACAGACTCAATTCGTCTTGGTGTTTCTACACGCTGTCGCCAATCACTTCTACGGGTGTCCACTATCAACATTCACCATGTCCATAATCCTGTTCAATACAACGGCATTCTTCATCTTATTCGGAGACTTTTATATAAAATCTTACTCTAAGAACTATCACAACAAGAAAACACTGGAAATTGAAGACAAACTATCAAAACAGTCGTATGCTAAGAGGCGAAATTTGGGCCAATAATAATTAATAGTACTATCAATTGTGTTTGTATAGAAGACTACAATCTTGTCAATTAAAAGCATTGAAAAGTGAAAAGATCTCTCGTGTCAGTTGCTGTATAGTTATTTTTGTATGTAACAAAAAAATAGTGGCCACAAATCAAAAGTGAAAATTCTTTTCTTAACTTACCTTACATTAGGCGGTGCATCAGGCATAACGGGATAGAGCAGTGCACGCATCACTCATATGTAGTCAAAAAAGTTTGGAACATTCCTAACTATTCGTAAAAGGAATAAAATAAAGAACCTTCGAAGAATCAAACATTTATCAAGCAGCCGCAATAATGGAACATAACACGATGGGGGTCGACGGAGGTCCCTTCCGACCCAGAAGCAGATCTGCGATCTGCAGCGCCTCTACCGGTAATTAATGTACTCTACCGGTAACTATTTTACAATATGATCAAATAATTTTTGCCATTTCATGAAGTAGCCACGCGTTTAGTTGGCCATATCGTGAAACGATTTCTCATCATTGATCTGCCCAAACCACATTATGGTGTGGCCAATAGATAGTGAAACATTTCATGAAATTCTCGAGCATTTCATGAAGTGATGAAATCTACGATATGCCCATGACATATATATATATATACATTGTCGTAGAGTTTCAGCCTTCGCTGAGTTACCCTTCAACTTTCATGCTCGTCGGGAAGAGTATCTTTATATATATAATTCTTCTGTGAGTGTGTATGTCACTGAACTTCTCTTAAACGACTGGACCGATTTTGATGAAATTTTTTGTGTGTGTTCAAGGGGATCTGAGAATGGTTTAGATTCACAATTTTGTCCGCTGGACAATGTTTTTTTAATTAAATTTTTTTATGGCGGTACGAAGTTCGCTGGGTCAGCTAGTATATATATATATATATATATATATAGTGTGACGTTCGCGACGCAATGATTTTATATCTTTTCCATAGGATTTTTCCATTTACACCCCGTCCAAAAAAAAGATTGTCTTCAAAAAAAGAAGTGCTTTGCTTTACCATGATACCGTGGATGTGCCGTTCTTATGTTAAAGTGCAAACGCTGCAATAGTCCGTGACAAGTCCTCGGCTCGACATTTTTTCTCGATACAGGACACTCTTTTTTCGTCCGCGGATAAAGGTCCCTCGGCTGTGTAGGCCATTATAAGTCTCAGAGACTCCCTCTAGTTGAGCCAACCCCCTCAGGTTCGTGTTGTCTCGAGGCTCCAGACGGAGAGGAGACTCCCCCGTGGGGAGATGCCATCCGCTTGGAATACCTCTAGAGGCACTTGCCAATTCTCGGCTTGAGGTCCCCTTAGGATCTCGCCGTCCCCAAGCCCGGTGACGCTGTAAAGGTCATCTGCGACCAACAGCATACATACTCAAAAAAATGCCATTATAGGTGATAGATCTCTTAACCACACATATGTTGTTTATTTCAGCGAAATACTATGTCAAATAATTTATACCTAAAACCTTTGATATAGCAATTGCAAATAAAAATACTATGTTACGAGTATTAAATTTATGATAGGTACTGTTAGTTAGTTTAATAATACTAGAATGATTGTTTTATGATTTTTTATGATTATTTCATCATTAATTTATACGTACATGTATGTCTTGTAATAATTAATTGCAACATTGTATGTATTCTTATTATAATGAAACTATAAAATAATTTTGCATCTTTTTATTTCATTATATAACATAATATTATGCTTGGATTACTGTTTTTGATTAAGTTTTAGTATTAGTGATTAAAATAATGCTCTTTGAAATCCAACTCAGATAAAGTATCAGATCTGTACCCCTAGCACGAACCAATATCGAATTCGTATCCTTTGCGAGTCCGAAATGTCATTGTCAAATTTGTACTGATTTTTAGTTCTCGTTACGTACTTTGTGCCGCTGCTGTTCAAGTTTCCCTACAACATTTGACATTGACATTTCGGTTTGCAAACTATTCGAATTCGATAATGGTTCGTGCTAGGGGTACTGTAACTTTAGCATGAACAATTATCGAATTTGAATAGTTGAATCGAATGAAATAGTTGAGTCGATCTGTAGCCCAAGAGTGAGACCGCCGTTATACTTGATCGTAATGCAAAATTTTTTTACAGATGTTAGGGTAGGTTATAAGAAGCTTAATTTTAAAAATCGGAGAATGTAGGGTGGTCACAACTGGCCGCCATATTGAAAAACGCGCTTATCACTATATTTCCTAACTTATTGACTTTATGGAAAAAAAATAGAACGTTTTTTTGTTAATTACAAAATTCCCTAACTTTTTCTTGTAACTCTTACCGTTTTTTAAAATTTGTTGTTTATTTGAACATGTTTGTAGTTTTTCCTTAATAAAACCCTTAAAATGCCATTAATTGATAAAAAACTTCATATAAAAGTTATTCGTCATTATGTTTCCTATAACTTTTGCATAAAAGTTCTTTTTATTAACCTAATACTTTTAAGTTTATGAATAATTTCGGAAATACGATAAAAATAATAAAAGCGTTTTCCAATATGATGGCCAGTTGTCACCACGCTACATTCCCTGATTTTTAAACATAAGCTTCTAACGACCTACCCGAACATCTGTAAAAAATCTAGAATGCGGCAAAATTTTGTTATTTGCCTTCATTGCTTGGGCTACTGGAGAAACGATAAATGTGTACTGATTTACGTTCTCCTTACGTCCGTTGTGGCGTTGCTGTTCAATTTTCCATACACAATTTGACGCACGCAAAATATTCGAATCCGATCCGGTACTTTAACCCAAATCATGAACAACTAGCGAAAAAGTATTCGCATGGTCATTTCAAAATTTTTATGGAAAAAGCTAGTTTGATCTTACTTCGGGTGCTTAGCTTTGCTTGAAACTTTGACGTTGCAAAGCACAGACTTTGTCAGATCTGTATTCGTATCAGATCAGATCTATCAGTCTGTGCTTGGGGTACTGCGGCGATCTACCCTGAAGGGGTAGGCCTTGGGAGCGTAGCAATTTATTAAAACAACTTTGACGTTATATTGGTTTTATAAGTTTTCAGGCTAATATAATAATTGTATTTTATCTATCTACGAGAGGTTTGGTGTCTGAAGTCCATTTATGTGGAACCTTTTATCAAAAGACGAGACGATTCCTTATTTCAAATAATAAAATCATGCCATTAACTTTTTAATATAACTGCCTGCCGTAGGCATTGCATGAATAAAGAGTTTACCCAAACAAGGAGGCTGTAACGTAACGGACGTTACAGTACTGACAGGTACTGAATACACTAACCGCTTTCAGTCAGCCTTTCAGATTTTCTGTCTCCAGTCTGAGGCCCGAGCACGAACATCATCAAAGTTTCTATTATTACAAAATTGGGCAATGACGATACGATTACGGATCCGTCAACAATCGTGTTTGGGCCTCTGATGGCTTCGCTGAGTGGGATTCATACTAGTATTTTATTATAAGAATTTAACGCTTACTTTTGTAAAAACATAAAATAGAAGTCGTTTAAAAGATTCTTATTCTTGTTTGGTTTCCTTCATTTCCTCTAAAGTTGTTTGAAGTCTGTTATAAGTTATGTAGCACCATCATTATAAATATGTTAAAGAGCAAAGTAAATTAAGTACTTACGTTGTTAATCGGAAAGCAAGAAAACAAAAATAATTATCACAAAATAAGTTTTTATTATCAGTTTTGTCTTGACTTAAAAATGAACAGGGCTTTACACATAAAATTATAAATTATAAAAACACAACTCATAACCCAATTTCCATCAACAATAGATACTCCTCTACAAATGTGGGCGGACCCAGCAATATCAGAGAGGTATCAACGGTAATAAATAGAAATATCACAAATATAGTCATTTAAGAGCGGACGTGAACTGAAAGACATTTGGGAAATATATATTTGAAAAAACTATTGCCGTTGCGCATTAACAAATACCTTGTGATAGGGACAACAATAGCTAACGCTGACAATCGAATAACAAAAAGCTAAATATAAGTCGCGGCACGAAACTCTAGCGCTTGCCGTTATTGCGCAGAAGTAAAAATTAAGATGTCTTGGGGGGAAACAAGGTGCGCGGGTGGGCGTGCGTTACGCCGATTGGCTCTCCAGTCGTACCCATGCGCAGCTAGCCCCTCCGCGTTTTGTTCAGCGCTAGAGTTACATACCGCGACCTATATCCATTATTTTGTGAGAATCTAACTGACGGACCAAATAGAATTTCGTTTACGTTACACTGTCATTATACCTATCCATCGCTCAGTCTGACCAGATGTAGTTGTGAATAATCCTACTAAGGGATTGTGAAACGTAATTTTCTTAAATCTAAAGAAAATTTTACTAGAAAAAAAAAATACTCAGTCCAGGAAGTAGACGGGACTAAAACCGGTCCCCTCCACAATCCGATGCAAATAAAAGATAAATAGGTACGCGGAGAAATTTGACACGGCGGTTAAGGTCACGGTAGCATAATTGCTCAGTGCATCCGGCCGAATAGCGGAGAGTGCTGGTTCGAGTACCGCCTGCTTCCTAGCCCGAGACCATTTTTTTTCTTTTATAATTTTCTTTAGATTTATTAGTCTAGCAGATAAATGCTTCATAAATAAAATATGATAAACGTAGGTGATTTACTTGTTTACTGAACAGTTTCTGTTCGCACTTGTGTAAACAGGTCCTGGATAAAACTGATGGGACTGCAACTATATGAAGTTATTTGTTTCTTAGGTTTTCACGCACATCACTCATTAAATAAAACTAGTTTTTACGGGTTAATGCACGAAACTTTATTTATTTATTGACGTTTCGCAGCCTTTTCAGGTCTGCATCGTCAGAATGCTCAATAAATAAATAAAGTTTCGTGCATTAACCCGTAAAAACTAGTTTTATTTATATGAAGTTAATTTTAAAAGTATGGCAATAAATGCAAATTTACATTTTTATTTTATGACGAGAAAAGTCAAATTTATTGAATATAACAATAGCAAGGAAGAAAAATTTTATTAGGCTTTCTTCGGATACTTATTTTTGTTTGTTTTAAATTGTCTTGAAAAATAAAAAAAAATCTCAAACGTACGCTTGCTTTATTTACATCATTCAGCTGGAATAATAAAATATTATTTTTGATCTAACCTCACTCCTTCTATATCTTGCAAACAGACAAGCTCTTATTAGACCAAATTATTGTCTTCTTTGATACAATAAACACAGTTCTTTTTTTTATGAACCTACCACGAATTTCTATGAACGGGTATTATCAAAAGTAAATACTTACATAGAAATGTAATAATAATATTGTTAATTGAAAAACTATTTACAAGAACTTGAGCTAAAGAAAACATAATTACCTAGGAGACAAATCCCATTTGTTTTCATACTAAATTGCTCAATGAATACCAAAATTGATAAAATATCTTTTAAAATTTATTTAAGAGAGTCCGGCTTTGGTTTTATACTTCATTGTGCAGGCTAGTTTTGCATGGGAGCTTTTGGAAGTTATTTCAAATGTATGAACATATTGTAAACGTTTTCAGTATTATGCATATTTCAAATAAAATTAATTAAAGTTTAGTGACACTCGCTCGTGCATTAAATTACAGAATCTCTGACATCTATAACAATAGTATCGGGAATGAAAAATATTATAAATTATACCTACTCCAACTATACATACAACAACTTTAAATATTAAGTACAGGTCGCGGCACGTAACTCAAACGTTGAATAAAACGCGGAGGGGCTAGCTGCTCATGGGTACGACTGGAGAGCCAATCGGCGCAACGCACGCCCACCCGCGCACCTCGTTTCCCCCCTACACATCTTAATTTTTACTTCTGCTCAATAACGGTCAGCGCTAGTTTCGTGCCGGGACTTATATTTATGATGCTCAGAAATAACGATGGAATCGAAACCCTAAATATCAAAATATCTCCATCATAATAAATTAAACTACACTATGACTACCATATGGGGAAAAATAATTATAAATATCACAAGATAATTTTATAGTCCATTTCACAAAGTAATCCATGGCAACAGGAACTAACTTCATAGACTGGAAGAGGCTATGGGTCCTCTTCGTGAAATGAACTCTACATTTTATGAATTCTAAAATTGACACTTACTCCTTAAGATGTTAGTCTACTTGAGTTAACAGCTGTTGGTGACAAAACAATATTTAATCCATTGGCAAATCTTACAAGTGTGACGTCAAAAATGTTTTGTCGCCACAAGTAATCAACAAAAAATTTATTTTATCTGACCGCCAAGTTTTAAGAAAATAAAATATTGGAAAAAAATAAAGCTACATATATTCAGAGAATTTTTTAAAGTTTATAGCTAAACATTTCTAAGTGTGACGTCAAAAATGTTTTGTCGCCACAAGTAATCAACAAAAAATTTATTTTATCTGACCGCCAAGTTTTAAGAAAATAAAATATTGGAAAAAAATAAAGCTACATATATTCAGAGAATTTTTTAAAGTTTATAGCTAAACATTTCTAAGAGTAACTGAATGTCAGGAAAAATTATGTATTCCTAAATAAGCAAACAATATAACAACACACAATTATATATACATCTCGATTTGGAATAACAAAACCATTTCAAATCACAGTTTCAAATATTTAGAATAGTTGCAAATTACTTAATAAAAGGCAGTTATCAATTATTAAACAAAACCCTTTAATTTATAATCACTTAAATATCATTCACTGTTAATACAACACAAGACTGTTGATATTTACCAATTAGAGTGTGACCTTTAGAGAGTCTGAATGAACACAGTTGGTAGTTATAATTTCTAGTAATGCTATTTTATACTTCATATTGATTCCCTGTTTTTCTCATAAGATGGCGTTATATCAATATATTTTGCTTCTACCATACCTGCGTTTGGTACTTCGGTACTGTCTGAATTAGCTATATGGTAATGAATTAGCGGCTTCGTGTCTATAGACGCCAGATGATGACACGACTGGCGATAATTTGACACGTATAGAAGAGGTTGAGGGAGACGATACATTTGTTTCCCCATCGGATTCGAGTGGTCTAGAGGCTTCAGACCCTCCCGCGGGGAGATGCCATCCGCCTGGAATACCTCTAGAGACACTCGCCAATTCTCGGCTTGAGATCCCCTTAGGATCTCGCCGTCCCCAAGCCCGGTGACGCTGTAAAGACTATCTACGACCAACAGCATACACACTAAAAAATAGATAAAGATTAATTTGTATGTGTTGCTGAAGGAGCGTACTTAAGAGCGGACTCGAGCTTAGAGACATTTGAAAAAAAGGTATTTGAAAAAACTATTGTTATCGGGCATTGGCAAATACCGTACGATAGAACAGTAGCTAACACTGAAAATTGCGTATAAAAATTGCAAATTTCGTGGGTTGGCTCTCGGCGTTTTTCGCTTTAAAAATTAGATAAATATAAAATAAATTTTACTAATAGAATAATAAGTAGTTACACTATGCCTCCATGTTTTGCTTTTTTTGTAAATTCTTTTTGAATCACCGCACTAGACGTCTTTAGTGGTGATAAAAATTTGTTCTTGCGGGCTTCTTGTTTCTTTGAAACACAAGTTATCGTAAAAAGAGATAGGAGCATAGAATGAGTAAAGTAATGTATGAAAAATATGTCTTTAGTGATGGAAATTAAGGAGGAATCTGTTGAGAACGTTTGTATGGAAAAATTATTGCCCGCGTCCCCACTGAATTCAAACTTCGAACGCAATTTTTTGCGCATTGCAGTACCACGAAGATTCGTCACGCAGGTGTGGGATAAGATTTGACGATAATGTTATCGAGCACCTTAAATGCGGTCAATGAAAGAATGCGATCCTGACACTGATCCTGACCTGAATAGAGTACACTTTCGATCTAGTCAAACCATAGTAAATCAGAGGTCTAAGAATGAATTCTAAGTCTGTTGCCTTAAGGAACTAACACGACCTGCCAGGATCACATATTGTCGTGGTGCACTGGATTTTTTTAATAAATCTTTGCATACAATAGTAACAAATTCATTATAGGTTTCGATACAGGAACGGCTAGTAATGTCCTCCACCAGGCAAAAATCACCTACAAAAATACTATAAATACAATTACACTAACTTTTGCATTTGTAACGCTTAAACATTACTTAAGTTATATAGCTGTTTCGCCTTCTCGTGACATAGACGTTCATGTTTCGAAGATATTGAACAAGGGAAAATCATTAAATATTTACGCACTAGAATATTTATCACTATAATAATATCAACCATCCAAGAGTCCACTGAAACACACGCAAATAATTTCATTAATATCGGTCCAGTCATTTAAAACAAGTTCAATGATATGGATATATATAATTATGGCAATTTATTTCAGAATGCCACTATTTCTGGCAACAACTCAACTCAACTAATATAAAATGTGTGACTATTATTTTTTAAACTATTAATAAACATTTACTCTATCGCTTTGTACACTTTTGATGTTTTATCAATACTCCAGCGAACTACAGCTGTTTATGATTGCATGTGCTTTTCTATAGCTAATAGTTTTAGCTGTCGCATATTTTCATTAATAAATACACGTATTCCATTAAATTACCGTATTACTATTAATTGACTTTCAAATGTTCCTGTGGCAGATTTTCTGTGACAGTTTTCACTGTTGACGCTTTTTCGGTTAATTTGTTCTCCGCCTGTCTTTTGTTTTTTCTGTAGCTTTGCCTGTAGAAGTTCAGGAAGAGCAGTAGGAAGAAGACTGTGTTGCTAGCGATTGCCGTCGCTACTCCTTTGGATGGAGGGCATTCTGATAGTTTCACGCTGAGTACGTACTGGATGATTATGGAGACAAATTGAATCTGGAAAAAGATTAACCACGATAAAGCCTTGTTTTATTGTTGGGGAAATGTATGACGCGTACACCGCCCCTCGGTAGGAGACTAGGTAACCTGAGTATAAATAATAAAATTCTTTTTTTTCTTTGACGTCTCCTCCAAAGGTTTTGTTTTCATATTTTGCATTTAGAAAGTATTAAATTAAAACTGTTGTTCCAAAATGAGTTCGAAAACTTTGCCAACAAAACAAATTAAAATGTATGCAAATAGATTTCTGAATATTTTAAAGTTTTTAGTTATTAGTTGCAAAGCATTGTATTTTGAAATGTGACGTTTCGAAACTTAGGACCTTCCTACCCCTTGTCACACAGTGTCACACTTCGTCAACGCTCTCCCTTCCTCTTAACGAATGATGTCCTCTAATGGCGGTGACACGCGCACTAGACGAAGTTTCGCTTCTGTGCGTTCCTTTTCATGTGGTTGCAGCTATCAGTTGGACATCATAATGTATCAAAATATATGTATAAATTGAAATTTTAAAACCAATCACCAACTAAACGTGAAAGCTAAACTAGCCAAATTTACTTACCAGCTGCATTGTGGTGATATACTTCTTCCACTTCAAATACTTCTGGAACTTCGGACCGAAAGCAGCCAAACCGTAGTAAGTGTACATGACAACGTGGACCAAGGAGTTGGTCATTCCTATGAAGATGAGCGTATGCGAGGGGCAGTACTTGAGCACGAGCCAAGTGCCGGTCATCATGATGGAGTGGTGGTAGAGGTGGAGGAACGTCACTTGGTTGTCCTTCTTGCGAAGAATGAAGAAGACCGTGTCGAGTAGCTCGGTAAGCTTCGCGGCGAAATACCACCAGATGTAATTGAGTATCTGTAAAAAAATTAACGGATAGTTTTGACACTTACATCATTCAGCCTAGCCCCCATAGTAAGCTCTATAAGGGCCACTTGTGCAAAAATAGCTTGTTTAGTTAGTCCAGCGCTAGTCCCCCGTATTAAAGCGGCTAATGAAATAACTAAAAGTATAGTCTTGAGCTAACTTCTTGTTTGTAACTATGTAAGATAATACTTCAGATTTATAAAGTTGATTTTAAACTGTTAGTCTAGGACTAAACTTAATGCGCAAATGGGTTTAAGAAATTGTGTCGGAAGACAGGTAGATAGCTAAGGGATAGAAAGACAATTAAATACAATCAATATAGTTTTGAAGAAATATGTAAAAACAGCCAGACTAAGGTACAAATGCTCGTATCCATTATACAAAAGTTCGCCCAGCCGGGATTTGAACCCAGAACCACTGGGTAGGCGACACCTTCAAAATGGTGTAGATACCACTAGAAAAAAATCCACGCGGATGAGGAAGCAGACGGGAATCGAACCCGCACCCTTATGCTACCACGGCCTTGATGGCCGTGTCGAATTCTTTCTAGCCTTTCTTAAGCTGCAAGGCAGCGCCATTTCTACGAATTGTGGATCACCCACAATGTCAAATGAATACCTTTATTACTATTAAATATTTTAAAGAAGAAATAGCAATTACAGTCAGAATTGATTATAATTTCTTTATTACTGTTTGTATTGTTTCCGACATAGGTATATTAATAATGTTTGCACGCAAAATCATAACAAATGAACAGACAAAAATAAGTACCCTAGCGTTTGTGTTATTAAACTTGAACTTGTCTCGCTGCACGGGATATGATGTCAGCTTTGCATGTATGGATATTGTGTCTACATGCCGCTATTGTATGAGTAAATATGCTTTATAAATACGCTAGATTACTCGTGTCAATATTATTATTCCATAAACTGTGGTCGCTTCCTAGCTTATATGCGTTATGGGGAAAACACAACGCCCACTGATAATGCCCGCGCTAATAAGTAGTAAAATTATTAAATTAATGATTGGTCTCCCTGTGGTCGACTAGATACCACCGTACTTGTCAAATGCCGCACCAAACAAAAATCTATATATATATAAAACTCAAGGTGACTGACTGACATAGTGATCTATCAACGCACAGCCCAAACCACTGGACGGATCGGGCTGAAATTTGGCATGCAGGTAGATGTTATGACGTAGGCATCCGCTATGAAAGGATTTTGATCAATTCTACCCCCAAGGGGATAAAATAGGGAATGAAAGTTTGTATGAAACTTTGTCAATTTTAAACCGATCGGGCTGAGACTTTGCATGCAGGTATAAGAAGAATCATAGATGAATGTCATTGTGTATAATACAAGCCTGAGAACAAAAACTGTAGTCTACACTTCAGCTCTACACCGAAGCGAAGCGAGGGCGGGCCGCTAGTGTACTATAATTTGGTAAAGTGGAACAGTTGGACTCTTCAATTCAAGAGAGTTTCTTAACTAATTTTCGAAAGTATAACGTGACTTACCTCTTTTCGTGTCTTATCCTGATTCATATAACAAGCCTTTGGCACTACACCCATCCGTGCGATAGCAAAGAAATACTGTGAACAAATAATAAACATTACCAATTTGTTTCGCCGGTTCTTCTCAGAAAGATCTCCCAATTTGTACCGTAGAGCGGTAGAGCGACAAGTACGTTTTTTGAGGTCACCACAAGAAATGCCATTTTTTTTTAATGTTCTTACACTATTTCCTCAAGCTGTATATTAAATACTCTACCAATTCCAGAAGAGATTGGTACAGGCGTGATGGTATATATACATATAATAAAATGGAAGAAAAGTCAAAACTGTACATTGAATAATTTTTAAAGAATTCTTGGGGTGTGATCTTCAATCGATACCGAAGTCAAAAATATAGTTTTTAGAATTTTTGTCTGTATGTATGTCCGGGATAAACTCAAAAAGTACTGCATGGATTTACTTCAAATTTGGCACGAATATTATTAAGAAGTCGGGTCAACATATAGGCTACATACTATCACGTGGGAACCGGTTTAGTTTACGTTAGTTAGGGCCAAATAAATAAACTCAAAATTCCAAAAAATAAATTCAAATAAAGTACTTTATTAACTAAATTAACTAATAAATTCATACATAGACAATAAAGTTTTAAAAATCTTCCAATGAAATATCCGAACGCTCAATAGCTCGACAAAGTAAATAAAAAAAAACATTATTCTGACGATGCAGACCTGAAAACGCTGCGAAACGTCAATAAATAAATAAAGTTCGTGCATTAATCCGTTAAAACTAGTTTTATTTAATAAGTGATGAGCGTGAAAACCTAAGAAACAAATAAACATTACCATTTAAAGTGAAAATTTTAAATACTTAAATGCATTGAAAATCATGTTCTCGAGACATCTACAACAAGCCTTTCAACAAAAAATAACTGAAGTGCTTATTAAGTTTTATACATAAATATTGAATAAAAAAATCATTTCTAAAGTCTTATAGCATAATATCTTTACGCCATATCCCAGGTAAGGAAGGCATACAAAACAGAGTAAACTCCCCAAAATGTCGACTAAAGTTAAACCTGGTCTAAGAATATTGCTGTTGCATTTGTTTGCTAAAAAAGAAAGAGACAACCTTTGATTATATCCACGTCTAGATAGCGTATTGACTGCAAGGAAGCGACCCAAAAAATATCTACTACATATAGTAGATAAGCTTGTCGCTACACATGCACACATTGACTCTTTTCAAACAATCTGACATTAAATCATGGACACATTGCGCGCAAAAAGAGCCGTTTTCTTTGCATGGTTTATTTAAATTACTGTATCTAATCGTGTATATGTGTATACACATATATATAATGGAGACAAGATTAGGTTTAAACCAAGTTTTACTTTAGACCACGTTTAAGAATAAGTGTCGCCGCACACGGGCCACCGACCACAACCACAAAACGCCGCCACCGGCATATTTTTTGTAGTTTTCATACATTTTATATGGACTCGCCACACACGGTACGCCGGTGGCCGCCACACGCTACAAATCATCGTTGCTCGCTTCTTGTGGCCCGCACCAGCCACTTAATGCGCCGATACAAAACGCCGCCACACGTCACTCGCGCGATTCCCCACCCCTCTCTCCCTTACCTTAGTAGGCCGCTGTCGCGCGCTTCAGCCACTTTAGTAGCCGCTTGTAGCTTCTTGTGGCGGCGTTTGTGGCTGCGGCGTGTGGCCCGTGTGCGGCGACACTTAGGCATAAATTATAAAATGTGATTGCATACCATTTGAAATAAGTACGCTGACAGTACGACTTGGAGAGCATTATAAAATGCTAACGTTTTCGTCAATTTGAATGCTTCTCTTTTCCTCATGAACGCAGGACCAATTTTCAATATGATCAACAAATAACCAGCCAAAATCATCAGCACCGGCCCTGGACTCTGCATCAAGGGCATACTGTCAAGCTCCGAGTCTGAAAATAAATACATATTTTATATTTTAATGTATTTTTTGCCTAAATTCATTCTTTGTAACTATTCTGGCGTCGGAAAGGGCTGACTAAAGGCTTTTCAAATAAATTAAGTTTAGTAATCCGCCATGTTTTATATTTGACAGCTCATGTCACGCATGCGCAAAGCTAATTAATTGTATTGCAATTCAGTTAATCTTTTCAAAATAGAAACCAAAAGAGAAAATAGCCTACTCAAATCTAGAGAGATATAATACTTTAAAGAAAATACTCTTATCATAAGACACGTTGCAAAATCTGCTGATATTTTTGACAAGAAGACGATGGATATAACTTCTATATTGTAAATTGAGTATCAATATCAAACTTTCGTTTCAAATTGACATAAATTTTACTCGATTTTGTTTAAGACTCCAAATATATATATATATATATTACCATTTCTAATTTTCCAAGAAGTCTTATGTACTGAAAGATTAAGGTAAAAGACATTACCTCTGCTTAAGTAATGACTTGAGCAACATTTTTCATTTCATCTTATGGGATTGATCAAAATGAGAACTGTCAAAAATGTTAAGCAATAATCACTATTTTCGTTGCCAAGTAACCATTTGTTTTATTGAAGAGTTCTTGTGTCAAAAATGACTTGATTACCTACTTAGCAACAAAGTAAGTAGGTACTTGTTTATAAAAATATGACTGTAATATTTGTATAGATAAAAAAAAGTAATTTCTTGTTGCTGAGTAATTACTTTGTTGCTAGATAACAAAGTCATTACTTCTCCCTGAATTCTTCAATAAAACAAATCGATACTTAGTAACGAAAATAGTGATTGAACTTGGATTTAAGATATTTTTAATTTATGATAGTTCTTAGTTTATATCCCTCTTATATCTTTTGATGACCTCTGTGGTCAAGTCGTTTGTACGCCGGGTTTCTATATAAACATACTTATAGATGTACAGTATATGTATTCTATCGGTCACCCTAGCATTCCATAACACAAGCCTTATAGTGCTTACCTTGGGGCTAGGCTAATTGCTGTGAATGTTGGAAATATTTATTTATTTATTTAGATTCATATTCAAATTCAACGGGCCCGAAACCATTTATACCGTTTTGCTTGCTGTAAATGAGAAGTAGCATTTTCATTTTACATTGCAGCGAGCCCCCACACAAATCCAAAGGGCTTTGGCACCACGGTTTGAAACCGGTTTCAAAAATACCGGTAAATAAAGGTTAATACCGGTTTTTAGTAAAGGTTTCGTTCGGAGCGAGTCCGAAATGAAAGCGGTACCTAAAACCTTAATAAACCGGTTTAACCCAGAGCGACACGTACACGTGTCGACATCCCTTGAAGTTTGTTTTGTTTGTACTAATCAAGTCACAACTTGTTAATGCTCAGAGATTGATAATGCAGCGATTGACACGTTTGCTAGCGTCTAGTGACTCAAGTTATTCATTTTTTAGTTGTGTATTTATTTCTGCTGTCAGTAAGAGCGAAATGAAACCCTTTAAAAACCGCTAAATTGATTCAAAACCGCTTTGATTTTGCTTTTTAGGAAAACCGGTTTTTTAAGGTTAAGGTAGAGCCAAACCTAAATAAAACGCTCCTAATGTACTTGATACTGATTTAAGTTTAAAAATTAACCGGTAAACAAGCCCTGTTTGGCACAACCTGTGCTATGGGGTCTGTCGCGGTGGACTCGCAAGGATTGGACAGATCTTCTATCTCGGTTCATTGCCTGGGTAACTATCGGTTACCTTACAGGTATATATCGCCGTCTGACTCCGACACTTCACTTGGCTATTCGTATTTGGTGTTTGTAAGCTTGACAGCAGTCTGATCTCATCATAAATTAAAAACGTATTTATAAAATAATATTTTCTAAATATCCTCGTATTAAAAAGTAACATAGGTAGTGCCTTTACGAATTAGATATCGCTTAAGCGAAAACCACTCGGCCCGCCATACATTTTTGTCAAGCAAACTTCAAATCATTCACGAAATAGTAGGGCGTAAGCGCCATTGGTTAAAAACAATTATGTTGCTTCAGCGTTGTGAACAATAAAAATCTTCAAAAAATTTAGTTGTTTCAGCTCCATAAAATTTACTGAAATCTTCACGGAATATAAATCGATCGACGCAGAAAAATAATCTGACTCAAATGATATTATATAACTCATAGAAAAATAATCTGACTCAAATGATATTATATAGCTCATTTGCGACCAAAGTGGCGTATAAGCGATTTTGCCTTTCCTCTATCTATATAATATCCTAACTTTGAAGCTGTACCAATATCATAACGGCTAGTTTCAAATATCAATCTCCAGTAAAGTGTAAGCTGCCTTTATCCAATTTCCTTTTTGCACCGGCATTATAGTTTAGTGTATTAGAGTCTGACTGATTGATTTGATTGTTTTGATTGATTTGATTGATTTGATTGATTTGGTTGATTTGATTGATTTGATTGATTGACTGATTAGAAATGTATACTGATATATGTATAATTATCTGCCTTTGTTTTTTTTGTTTCGTTTTATTTCGGCATTCGCAATCACCTTTGCCATAAGGTGCTGGCAGAAAATCGGCGCTGCTGTCGTATTGCGAAAGCGTTTACCACAGAGCATAGCTGAGTCAGCGTCCTATGAGGCTTACACGACATGCACCTAGTAATTAGTTCCCATGATTTTATTGTGTCTAAATTTTATTATTATAACCATTTTGCTTTCGATATTCATGCTGTGAAGGCCAATAAAATGTTTTTCTTTCTTTCATTTTTAAGCACCGTTTTTATTTTAATCTTAAGATGACGTATCAACTCTGAAAGGGATCGTCACCTTATCAACCCAAGCCGTTCAGTATTATTTGTATGAAGCTCGATCGAAACTTAATCACACCGTTACGATTACGCTAAATGATGACAGTGTCTGCTACGACCATTACTAATAAAAATATCAAGGCCAGTATGCTCTAACTCTAATAGCAGGCTGGCAACTCATATTAGAAATTCACAGCGAGAAACTAAATATAATGGCGTTCATCATGATCATCATCAGCCTTATAATATCCACTGGTGGGTCACAAGCCTTGCCTATGTTTGGAATAGAGAGATTGGGTCATGACCCACCACGCGGCCCAGTACGGATTGGTGTGTGCTAACGACTGCAGATGCAGCCGAGACCAACGGCTTAACGTGCCTTCCGAAGCACAGAGGAGCTGGAGATAGTTAATTTTTGGTCACCCATCCAATGACTAACCACTGCGAAAGTAGCTTAGCTTCAATGATCGCAGCCGAACGTGCTAAACACTTGTGCATCGAGTTCCTCAATGGTGTTACTGTGCTTTTATTGTTTAAACATGTTTTACCATTTTGATGAGATAGTTTCAATCTTAACTAGAAGATACACACTCAGAGGCGCCAATTCACTTTTTATTTAACTTATTCATATTCATATTCATTTATTGCATTCTTACTGTTTACATGCTGTTACAAAAAAATATATATATCATTCCAAACAAGAACCCAGTTAGTGTATCGCAATAATCCTAAACTTAATAGATCGAATCTACAGTCATAATTATGAAACGTTCCAATATTACAAAATTTTTAATCCTGTATAACATATTGTAAAAATTAATTCAACTTGCCGAAATATAATGCAAATGTCAAAATTTTAAACTTAATACTAAGTAGGTAGATCTACAGTCATAATTATAAAACGTTCCAACATAACAAATTTTCAATCAACCATTTAACTTTAGTCAATAAGTAAACACTATAGAAGGATTCAATTTTATTGACATTTCTGAGTGGTTCCATAATAATGAAATCATAAAACTAATACTTACATGCACTCTTGTTTAAGTCCCAAGCGGGATTTTTTCCCAATGAGAAACTCATGTTTGTTCTTCTCGACGTCTTCCGCTACTATTCCTGTTGTACACTTAATTATTTTACTGAAAATAAGAAGAACACTCTGATAAACGTACACAACACTTCATATCACAATTACGACTGCGAATTCTTTCCTGTAAACGTCTAACCGGACAATGTTTCCATAAAATATGTTAACGATATAGCGCCAAAAATGACAACATTAATTTGAGAGTGACTAAGTGCCATTAGCCAAATTAAAAACTAATTACATTGACTGGTGTTTGCCAACTTTCCAATGGAAATTTCATGTCATTACGTATTGCTAATTGCTGCCAAAGAGTTCCAAAATATAATTTGCGGTAAACATCGCATTACTTACATTTGAATTGACTACCTCAATGGCCGAGTGGTTTGTACGCCGGTTTTCAAGGTGTCGCCGACTTGAGACGTCCCGGGTTCAATTCCCGGTGGGGGCAGATGTTTGTGTGATGAATACGAGCATTTGTACTCCAGTCATGGATGTTTAATATATATTTCTATAAAAATATACTTATATCTATACTGTATGATATGTATTCTATCCGTTACCCTAGTATCGCATAACACAAGCCTTATAGTGCTTACTTTGGGGCTAGGCTAATTGGTGTGAGTTCTCTTCTTTACAACATATTGTTCAATCCCAAGTCCCCGCTCTATATTAAGGAAAGTTTTAATTTCCTGCATAATTCTAACACGTTATCTTTAAGGTCATCAGAAATTCTTGCTCTTATGACTCCCGTACACAGCACAACTTTTTTCCATCGTTCGTTTGCAGTGCAAGCTGTACATCTATGGAATTCTCTTCCGGTTTCGATAAGACGTGCGGAAACTATTATTACATTTAAAAACCATCTGAATTTCTATTTTCTGACATTGTAATACATTTTAATATCTGATGTGCTTACAACTGCCTCCCAATTGGACTGGATCAATGTATGTATTTGTATTTATACTTATTTTATGTATGTATATATATATATATATATATATATGTGTATGGTGTATGTATGTATATGCTAATATATTATATAGTTTACCAGCGATTTACACCGCCGTCTCTCCCACTTCCTTCTAATCCTCTCCCATCCAAAGGTTGCCTGGAAGAGATCGCTTTAAGCGATAAGGCCGCCCATTGCATCACGTGTACTAGATGGTTTTGTACTTAATGTTCAATGTTTTTTTTGTGGTGTACAATAAAGAGTTTTTGTATTGTATTGTATTGTATTGTGAGTGTAGGAAATATTTATTTATTAATTTTGCTGTATTTTACCTAGTCGGCTTCGAGATTACGTCGACGTTAATAACAATATGTTAATTTTCCTGTAAATGTAAGAGGATAATGTAATTGGCTGTCCTCTTTAAAGTTGAACTGAACTACTCGCTTTATTAACTGCGCTAACTCGTATAATAATAATATTTCCAACACTCACACCAATTAGCCTAGCCCCAAAGCTAGCACTGTAGGTTTGTGTTATGGGATACTAGGATAACGGATAGAATACATATACTCATACGTATATTAGTATATTCATATAGAAATACATATTAGACTAGAGAACAAATATATTGTTTTAATCTTTCATGGTTACTAACATTATAGTAATATAAATTATTTACGGGATTGTTACCATGTACCTTGTTTTTAGCGAGTTTCCGATATTTCGGCACTGTTGCAAGCGCCATGATCACGGAGTAATTGCGGAGTAAACGGAAACCCGCTTAAAACAAGGTATATGGTAACAATCCCGTAAATAACTTATATTACTATAGAGAACAAATGCTCGTATTTATCACACAAACATTTGCCCCCACCGGGATTCGAACCCAGGATCTCTAGAGTGGGCGACACTTTGAAACCCGGCGTACATCACTCGGCAACGGAGGTCGTCGTCGTCGTCAATATACCACATATATCATACATATCATCATCATCATGAGCCTATTAATGTCCCCACTGCTGGAGCACAGGCCTTCCCTATGGATGGAATAGGGTGATTGAGCCATGACCCACCACGCGGGCCCAGTGCGGATTGGCGGGTGCTAACGACTGCATATGCAGCCGGGACCAACGGCTTAACGTGCCTTCCGAAGCACGGAGGAACTCGACATAGATAATTTTTGGTCACCCATCCAATGACCGACCACTGCGAAAGTTGCTTAACTTCAACGATCGCAGTGGAACGCGCTAACCACCCGCGCCTTCGAGCTCCTCACCATCACATATATACTTAACTTATATAAACGCGTAAAATGGGGATTCAAAATTTGTATGCGACAAATTCGCTCGCTCCCGCTAATTCAAATATATGAGCGGTAGACATTTTTACTGTGGTTACGTATTGATTTACTAAGATATGTTAGTCATATTTTGGTTTGTAAACATTTGACGGCTAGACTAAAATAATCTAAGGAAATAGAGATAAGGGGTTTTTGGTTGAATTTCCTTATGCATTATAATCTTTATTTAATGATAAAAGTGTAAAAAACTGTCTTATCAATTAATCCAAGGCTTAGTACAGTATTATAAAAATATTTTTCCGTACTAATACCAATGCCAAATGTGGCATCATTGATCGTGAGAAGTTTGCTGTGGCGTTATGTTAATACACTTTTTACACTCAAGCTGCATCTTCGACACTATGCTAACTCCGCAATGGATATAATATAAATAAATCTATGTTAAGATTACAAATTCACGAAACATTATTATAAAAGAGCGAGGCAGATTCCCCGTTCAGAGCACCGGTCGGAAAAAATGGTAGGAAATAGCGAACTTTATATTGAACTAGCTGACCCAGCGAACTTCGTACCGCCATAAAAATAGGGGCAGGTGAATGAAGATTCCTCCTAACCCCTTATAAGAACAGTACGTTACAATACGCAATAGCTTGAATTTTGGCACGAAGGCGCATTGTAGGTTTCAGAACACTACATTACAGGTGGACAACCATTATCACTTAAGGATATGAAAAATAGATAGTAGCCGATTCTCTGACCCACGGAATATGCATATAAAATTTCATAAAAATCGGTCAGGCCGTTTCGGAGGAGTATGGTAACTAACATTGTGACACGAGAATCTCTTATCTATTAGACAAGTTCGTCCGTCCGTCCGTCTGTGGTGCTGTTTCAGCGGCCAAACCGTAAGAGATAGATAAAGAGAATGTTTAAGTTATAAGTTAAGAATAGTCTGATAAGACTACAAACCGGATTTGAGTAACGTAGCACTTCCGGTTTTCGAGAAATCACGAATTTCAAACGAAACCACACAAAATCTCCGAAGTTCTCAATTAATTAAATACATTTTTTTTTTAAATCAGGTTTTGGTGAACATTTGGTTCACTGGTTTGCTAGTTTTATATATAAGATAAAGTACGAGTAGTACCTATGCACTCCTTTTGGGCTATTTGATGTATTTTTGTTTACTGCAAATATAAATAATAGGCTTTCAATTGTTTCATTTAATCTTTGCAAAGTTATAAATTTTACACTTCAAACCATTCTGATGGGAGTTTGGCCTAACTATAATAAAATCGTTATATACGAGTAAGTCTTACTGTATTCAAATTCTAAATTCTTAAATAAATTTAAAAAAATAACACTTCAAGATTCCATGAAATGTGAGGACAGTCACTTTAGTAAATATTGTAATATATATACCTTCATAACATAATTAATTAATGCATCTAAATTAGGTTATTGCAAACTTCGTTCAATAAATGTATTTGACAAATGAAATATATCAAAGAATATTATTAAAAAAGTTTATTTTATATGTCGTCAATTAAATAAGTAAGTTTGGTAAATAATTTCTAAGTACCTAATTCCCACTGAAAACACAAATATTTAATAAAAACTTACTTGTCAAAAATATGTTTTTCTTCTAACTTAACCACGCGTGTTTAATGAAAAACTTCCTATTACAGATAAACACATTCAGTTTTATATAAGCGTTTTGCAAAAATAAAATCGATAAATATATTTATGTTCACTAAATAAATACTGTAACACTTAACATGTTCATATTGCGGCACTGATTAAAAAACTATGACGGAGGGCTAACTTGCGCTTTTAAATGGGCGGGCATATAGCACATAACATGAAAAACGAGATTAAATAGCCTTCGCCAAACTCGTCAGTTAACACGCATTTCGGGTGTAAAGCCCCGGCACGACATACTCTTTAATCAGACTACCTGTTATTTAGATTTGCTCGTTCTAATCGGAACAAACTTTTTATCTTCATAATTTATAACATGCTCAATTTTAAAAACAGAAAAAGATCATTAGATTAATTATAATACCAGTTTATTAACTGATTTCATTAACTTTGGTGTTGACATTATGATGAATGCGTTGGAAAAAAACATATAGAATCCTATGTATAGACTTTTTTTTGAGTGTGTATGATGTTGGTCGCAGATGACCTTTACAGCGTCACCGGGTTTGGGGACGGCGAGATCCTAAGGGGACCTCAAGCAGAGAATTGGCGAGTGCCTCTAGAGGTATTCCAAGCGGATGGAAAAAGGCATCTGCGGACTCCTCCCTGGCCGCTTTACCCAGTAAATGCTTGGCGAAGTAGAATAGGACTCTACCCACTAAAAACCAGACAATACTTCTACACCCATCACCCGACACGCATTCTGAGGACCTAAAGGCAAAATTAGACAGTTCATCAAAAGTGATTGATGTTTACAACGATTTGTGAATGATGAACAGTGAAATGCATCGTTTGTATACACGCATGATTTTTGATGAAAGCTAATATTCCATTCCTTGTAAAATTCCGGCGTGAACATTATCTGTGTCGAGTTATTTAATTAAAGAATAAATATTAAGACAGTGAACGAAATGATCTGTGAATGAGCTGTCGCTGTTTAGATTTTTCACTTGTCTTCCATTGCCGAAGAATGATGGATGACAGATGCATAATTGATGCTAGTGAAAATAATGGGGAGCCGGAAGCTTTGATCCATACATACATCAGGCTCCGGCCACTGTTGGATATAGGCCTCCCCCTTAGGACGCCACAATGCGCGGTCCTGCGCTATCCGCATCCAGCGGCTCCCAGCACATTTGACGATGTCGTCAGTCCACCGTGTTGGGGGCCGCCCCACGCTGCGGGCTAGCACTTCAATGTGCTAGCTCTTCGAGCTATGACGTACACACCAGTCCTTCTACGGATCTCCGTATTTCAGATGTTATCACGTAGGGAAACACCGAGCATAGCCCTCTCCATAGCACGCTGCGCGACTCTGAGTTTTGTTATGAGGCCGACATTCAGAGACCACGTCTCAGTTCCATAAGTCATCACTGATAACACACACTGGTCATAGACCGTTCTTTTCAGGCACTGGGGAATTTTGGCCGTGAGGATGTGCCTAAGCTTTCCGAACGCTGCCTAGCCGAGCTGGATTCGTCGGTTGACCTCTTTCTCGAAGTTGGTTTTCCCAACTGAACTGTGTATCCTAGGTAGACATAATGATCG